GCGATAGTTGTTGAGAGAATCCGGCAGCTGGGTCTTGAGGTGGCTCTGCACAAGTCCGAGGCCATGCACTTCCATGGTCCTCGGAACAGGCCACCACCGGGATCCTCAGCGATGGTAGGAGGGGTATCCATCGGCGAGTCGACGTTGAAGTACCTAGGACTCGTCCTCGACGGCCGATGGAACTTCGTTGAGCACTTCCGACGTTTGGCTCCCAAACTGGAACGGACCGGGGCTGCCTTCAGGCGGCTCCTGCCGAACCTGGGGGGGCCACACGCCTCCTGCCGGAGGCTCTACGCGGGGATTGTGCGGTCCATGGCCCTTTACGGGGCCCCGGTGTGGGCGCGTGGTTTGGCGCGGCTTGCCGTCCACCACCTGAACGCGCCCCAAAAGGTGGTTGCCGTAAGAATGGTTCGCGGCTACCGCACGATCTCCCGCGAGGCAGCGTGCCTCCTTGCCGGATTGCCGCCATGGGATCTGGAGGCGATAGTCCTCGCGCGTCTGCACGAATGGCGCACGGAGGCACTATGCCGGGGGGAAACCCCGCTGCCGCGGCAAGTTGTCGTGCAGCGGACAGACTTCCGGCATGATCTCATGGCGACATGGAGAGAGCGACTGTCGCAACCCCGTGCTGGGCACGCCACTATAGCGGCGATAAGACCCCTCTTTGAGGAGTGGCTTGAGAGAAGCCACGGCGTCCTCACCTTCCGCCTGACGCAGGTCCTCACCGGACACGGTGTGTTCGGGAGGTTCCTGCACCGAATCGGGCGGGAGGAAACGCCCGGGTGCTCCCACTGCGAGGATCGACCGGAGGACACGGTGGAGCACACCGTTGAGGTGTGCCCTGCCTGGGCGGAGCACCGCCGTGTCCTCGTAGCGGCGATAGGCGGCGGCGACCTCTCGCGTCCGGCCCTGGTCGAAGCCATGGTCCGGAGCGAGATGGAATGGGATGCCGTCACCACCTTCTGCGAAGCAGTGATGCTAGCGAAGGAGGTGGCGGAGCGGGAGAAGGAGAGAGCAGCAGCTTTCCTTCCCGGCCGCCGCGGGAGACGCCCCGGGCATCGGGGGCTACGTCGTGGCCCCCGGCCACCGTAGGCGCGGGCCTGTGGACGGCGAGCAATGGGTAGCTCGCCGTCCGTCCGTCTAACGGCGACAGGCCGTGTCGACGGCGCGTTTTGTTCCACGCGCGCCTCAAAGAGCTGTCAGCAGCGTGAAGGGGCCCGCAAGGGCCGACGCCTGCCGGGGCTGCGGGCTGTTCGACAGAGATACCGCGGCTCCGGAACGTAAGGGTACTGAAGGAACACGGATGGTTTTTAGTTAGTAAAAGTCTGACACTCCTTTCCGCTCCACCCAGAGCGAAAGGCGTCATTTGATGATTTTCCATCCGCAAAAAAAAAAGGGGTAGCAACGCATCTTGATCCTTAATCGAGTATAAATGTAGATGTCTATGAGCCACAGTAACCACTTACCATCGTGTGGACTGTGGGTTCGTTCATCACACTTATTCTATATAAAAAAAAAACTTTGTAATAATCACAATGTTACTTGTATTCACCTATTTCAACTAAGCCGCATGCACGTTTGCCTCCGCTCATATAAAAAAAAGAAAACTATAATGTTAGTGTTGGGACGTGTATTATTATAGTTTTGATGATTTGTTCAAATTAACGTTTTGTTTTCTCGTAGATGAAACAACAGATGTGGCTTACTAATATTCTCTGTTTGAACCCTATCGCTATCAGTCGAATAACCTCGTCTGTTCACTCTAATGCTAACTACGAATATTATATAGATAACGCTATCGTAACCGCTGAAAGAACGCTTTCAAAGACCGTTGTAGATTAGATTATTACAAAACAAACGGCACTAAACTAATTTGGCAACGTTATATTAAACGTTGTCTAACAAGTGGATTCGTTAATATCTGATAAACTAATTATAAAGGTGACGTTCGAGCTTAATTGGCTACCTTTGCAGCTTTGCTTTTAGATTTACTTGAAAATCATTATTTTCTACAAAATACCGAGGGACGAATTACTCTTCCCTTATTAAATTTTACTTAATCTACAAGCTCTTAAAGTTACTTAAAACGTTTCAATAATTTAATATTTAGTGATCTCTATCGGTATGGTAACTCTTGTTGAACGTCTAATTAGGTAAAATATTTTGCAAGTTTTGTAAAGAAAATTATTGAAAAGCAGTAAGTGGCTGGTCTTTTGCTCCAAATACAAGTTAGCGGACTACCCTCGGAAATTTTGTCTCAGATATGAAACACACAATTCAGCACTTTAAATTTTGATGAACAATTTCTTCGGTGTCGGCAGCAGAATTCGAACACAAGCTGCTCTCACAAATCTATCTATATTAAACACAAAAAAATGTTTCCACCGACATAGGTGTAACGTTATAGACTTTGAAACCATCGAACGGAGCGGAAAGAGAATTACATTAGAAATGCATTAAGGCGAAGATAGTTTTAGACCACTAAAACAATCCATTAGGCACATTGACCTATTACTACTAAAGGGACTTCGGGTCCGCGCTCAAGTGTCCGAACCAAAAGAGTTGCAAAATGCAGAGCTCCAATCGCGCGCCAGCGCCAGTCTATGCTTTGTCGATATATGTACGTCCAAAATGCAGTACTGTATTGTGGAAATGAGGAAAAAAATATTTATATTATATATTTTCGGTAAGGATATATTATATTATAGACATTTAACATTTAATCATTTAAAAGTAATATTTTGCTTGGATTCATAGTATTTAATTTATATTGATTGTAAAAACAAATAACCATACCAAAATTTTCCCTAGAAGCTGCATAAGGTGAAAACAGTGCGGCCTCCAGTCGAAGTTAATAGTCTGATAAATTATCGCAAGTAAAATTAAGGCGTTTTGTAATTACTATAAAGTTTGAATTAGGATGTTATAGTTATTTTATATTTCTATACATGTACCTACGCTTACAAAGTTGACTCGGGACACATTTTTCCTGAATTTTGTTCTAGATCCGCCGTCCATTTAATAGTAGGTCAATGATTAGGCACTTTATAAAAAAAGTTAATAAATAAACAAAATTTCCTTTTTTTTTCCAACAAAAATGTATTTCTTTAGCGTAGTAGCACACGCTTGTATAATATATAAGTAAAAAGAATATATGAGTATTGTCAAAATAGGTAGCAATCTATATAATTATTATCGATATAGCGCTAATATTAGCTGTGATTATATTACATGCTGTGATTTTAAATCACATCATAATATTTGCGCTGCAATGATTCAATATTTATTACTGTGTAGTGACAGTGGGAAACATATCAGGGGGCGGGCAGCAGCGTCTTCCTAATACGAGCTAAAAATAAAAAATAAAACTGCGGTTGCCAACTCACTTCAATTGTACATAATAATTGTAAAGTGAAATATGCTTAAAACAATCCCACTGGGTTTCTTGCTGGTCCTCCCCAAGACAGTGGTATTTTCCGAACCATTGGTCAATAAAACTCATTCTATTCTATACTTGCCAACCGTGGCAACTGTGGCAAATACCCCGCTATGACACAATTTATGTTCAGCAGTGGATTTACCAATATGAGATAAAGTAAGATTGTCCCAGGATTTAAATAGGGTTGTAGAGAAAATGAAACCATAGTTCGGCTTCCGAGTTGCTCGTTTCCCAAAATGCACTTGTAAAATCAACGGTTTGACTTATTATAATTGAAACAAAAATTTGTGACATCGCACGGCAATCCATCAACCATCTCGTCGCGAGGTTGATAAAAAAAGGAAAAAAAAATACTTCGTGATCTCTAACAGATAGTATAACAACTATTTCAAACATTACCCGGGTCAAAAAATACACTACGGAAAAGGAGCAGTGTAAACTATAACTGTGAAAAGGACGGTCAGCATTACAAATTTAATAAGCTGATGTCAATGACGAAATAAAAATATTCATATCCTGATGTAAACCCTGTTTCCAATTTGTTATTGTTACTTGTACAAGCGTTGTTTGCATTGGCGTGCGATCTTGACGCACCGCCTGAATATGTCAGATGCCGACCGCTTGAATATGTCAGACATATTCAGACCGCTTGAATATGTCTGAAATGTATTATCCGTCTAATACTTTGCACTATCAATAAATTTCAGTGTAAAGTGAAATAAGAAACTTGAGATAACTACTTTTATAATTTATGAAATATAAAGAGACTTTGTCATCGTTTTGAATGTGTTAAAGTAGTACTGCAGAAATTATATCACACTAGCTGGTAGAAGACGCGTTGCAGCCTCAGAAGAAATAATTGTGGTAATATCGTTTTAAATTTAGAAGAGTAGTTATATTGTTTATGAAAATACATTCATTGAAGTTAATTGATAAATAACTTTGAAATAAATTTGTCCTTACAATACACGCGCCACCTGCTGTAAGTTTTAGTGCAATCAGTTGAACGGTATAGCTGCGCATAAAATATGAACAAACAAATATTAATTTTTATATATTAGACTATTTGGTATTCGGCGTATTACTGCCGCAGAAAAAAAAACTGTGGAAATACCGTTTTCAATTTGGAAGGGTTATATTGTTTAAATAAGAATGAAATTGAATCACATATTATGACTTTCAAATAAATAAATCGGTATGATACGCGTGCCACCTACTGTAAGTTAATTGTATTATGCCTATAACCTTCGCGCAAGTGCAAGGAATAAGTTGACAACGTTTTACCGCAATCAGGTGAACGGTATAGCAACGCATAAAATACGAACAAACAAATATTAATATTTATATATTAGATTTATTTGAAGTAATGTTATTTGATCAACAAAATCTTCAATTTTTAGGTTAATATGACTTTGTTTAAGATTAACATAGCGTCAATCTATACTGCAAGGAGAAAAATCTTATGAGTGTCGTAAAATATCCAAACGTGACTTGGTCATATCGAGTACTACGAAGCGTAATGATGTGATCGAATGTTATATCGTTACCGATATATTGGCAGGATTGACCGCCGCGACGTTGCGGATGGGGACCGCGTCGACCCAGACTTGTTAGATCGTGCGGTGCGGCTCCTTCAGCTGCAGAATCTTGACCGCATTTACTCCTACCACACCCGACCAAGGTACGACAATCGATGTTTCCCGTTCCCCATCCCTTCTGTCGTGAGACTGCGGCGTATTTAGCACGTTGAATGTTTTCCCGCATGGCAACGTTCTTAACTGTCTTCTTTCACTTCATGTAAAAAGGTGATCGAGAAATGCTGCTGTTTCTAGGATATCGTATTAACTTTTTTTTATTTTGATAGTGAAAAAATGATTAAACTTTAAATAGAATTTATATTTTTTTAAATTACTATTTATTAACAATTTCATTGGTGCTAGTCGCAGAAATCTTGTACTTTTTACATCGGCAATATTATTGTTATTAAATTGTAGGAGTAGGTATACTTGTATTAAGTTGGTGTTGTTGAATGTTTATATATTTAAACAAAAAAAAATTGCATGTTACGTGAAGTATTCAGTAGGCACGATAGTTTTCAATAGATAAGAAATATAAAATATTAAAATTATTTACTTTCCGAAAGTTAGAATAGAATAAGTCACTTGAACTTGTTACAAAGATTCACTTTGAGAACTCGAGTACTTTGTATTATTTTTGTTAACTGTAAATAATGAGACGACTTAAAATTTAATGAATTATACAATTAGAGGAGGGGTGAACAACGGGTAGATGAACTTTAAAAAGTAAAGGATAGGATTTTTTCGATTTTTGACATTACCTTTTTGATTTTACGAAAATATCTATAAGTTCGCGAGATAGTAACAAGTGGTACAATTATAAATTTTGTACAACCGACTTCAATATAAATAATTTAAAATTATAAATTTTGTACAACTGAATTCAATATAAATAATTTAAAATTAAACATTTTGAGCAACCAACTTCAATATAAATAATTAAAAATTAAAAATTTTGTGCAATCAACTTCAATATAAATTATTAAGAATAACTCTAAAACTATTGACTAGACCTTGATCATGAAGCACCAGCTTTCAAATAAAAAAAGGATACATAACACACATAAAAAGAACATATAGTCTAATTGAGTACCTCCTCCTTTCTAAAGTCGGTATATAAAATAAGAACATCATCAATGTAGTCGAAGTCAATTAAATATGTTTTATTAAGGATAACTCAAAAACTACTGGTCAGATCTTGATCAAATTTATATGGGACCACATGAGAAGCATCAGCTTTCAATTAAAAAAAGACCATCAATAAAAAATTCTGAAGTAACACACATAAAAACTACGGTCAAATTGAGAACCTCCTCCTTTTCTTGAAGTCAGTTGAAAATTAATATTCGCACAGAAAATAAGCAATATAACTATGACCTGCATGGTTTTTACACACGCTAGCTTGATCTGTATAAATGTATATATGTATGTATGAATGTAATGGAACTTAGTAATTTAGTTTTGAACCACTTCCGGACTCTGAATTTTAATGCAAATTCTGAAAATTTTGAGACGTATAAAGAACAATAATTTCATAAATATGATCTTGTATTCTTAATAGAACTACTCGTATCATAGCTCATGATGAAAGTGCGTTGAACTTATAATGTCCTCTATACGGTAGCCATTAATGGTTTCATGCACTTTTGTTATATTTTTATCTCTAGAAACGTTTATAATATTTGTCAATTGTTAATTAAGAAATAGCTTCAAATTTTATGAACAGAATAATTAAAGTAATGATGAATCTATCGTACTCTCGACGTTACCTTTTTAATTTTCGTGAACTAAACTGAAAGATGATAAGTCCGTGCAAAAACAGAAATAAAACTGGCCAAGTACGAGTCGGACTCGCGCATGAATAGTTCCGTACCAGCGTACAAGATTTAATAGTATGTTGGTAAAACCACGTTTCTAGTAGGGGAGCCCCTTTATTTTTCAATTTATTTTTATTTTTATTATTTATTGTTATTACGGATCATGAGACACAGCCCGCTGACAGACAGACGGACGGACGGACGGAGAGCGGAGGCTCAGAAATAGGGTCCTGTTGGTTACCCTTCGGGTACGGAACCCTAAAATGAGCCAGATAAGAAGTAATAATATATATTACTAATAACTATACAAAGGTGTGTTTGCATAATTTATGTTTATAGGTATAACAGAGGTTATTATTTTTATGTAAATGTAGCTCTGACAAGAATAGAGAATAATTAAGATTCCGTACCCAAAGGGTAACCAAGGCAACCCTATTACTAAGCTTCCGCTCTCCGTCCGTCCGTCCGTCCGTCCGTCCGCCTGTCTGTCAGCAGGCTATATAATAGGTGGATAGTTGAAAATGTGAATTTCTGTTGAGAGTGTGTATTTCTGTTGCCGCTATAAAGACATATAGACAATAAAAATAAAAATAAATTAACAATTATAGGGGGCTCCCCTACTAGAAATGTTTTTGTTGGCTTTTATTACTCGATCTTAATAATTGCAACAAATAGACTCTTGAATTGCTCACAGAGTTTGTATTGCTATATACATACGCTAAAAATTATAATAATATTTAAAAAGTATACATACATAGTATTAAATCTTGTAGGATAGTACGGAATCCTTAATGCGCGAGGCCGTCTCGCACTTGGCCGGTTTTTTTATAATTTCCTCTCTAACAGACCATCGCCAGACAGGGTACCATAATAGGAATTTGTCGTATTTGTCATGCTTGGGCCAACACGCATTAGACTAGCGCCATTACGGGCCGCCTTGCTCCAGATCCTTTTAGAAATGAGAGGTGGCCTTTATCTTGTAGTGGGACATAATAACGATGGTAACTCTTACTTTGAATAATTTAAACATTTTGTACAACCGACTTCAATATAAATTATTAAGAATAACTCAAAAACTTTTTTTTTATAGGATAAGGGTGACAAACGAGCGCACAGTCCCCCTGATGGTAAGTGGTTGCTGTGGCCCATAGACATCCACATCTATCTTCGATTAAGAATCAAAATGCAGATGCGTTGTCACCCGTGAGGACTAAGATGAAATGCCTCGTTTCCAGTAAAAAGGGTCTCCGGTTCTCTACACTCACCATACGAAACACAGCAGCGTTAAGCTGCTATTTTACGCTGGTATTCTGTGAGAGCGTGGTCCTTCCCCGGTCGAGCCGACCCATTCGTGCTACAACTATAATATAGCTGCAGCATGGCTCTACCACGTATAAAAACTATTGGTCAGATCTTGATCAAATTTATATGGAACCACATGTGAAGAACTAGATTTCAAGTAAAAAAAAGAAGCATCGTAATCGGTTCACCCAGAAAAAAGTTATGAGGTAGCACACAAAAAAAGAAAAAAAAAACATACAGTCGAATAGAGTACGGCCTCCTGTTTGAAGTCGGTAGAAAAAGAGATTGTTTAGATCTACGTCTCACGTATAATATGTCTCAGTATAATATGCACACTCCCCGTACTGTGTCTGACCAAGCATTTCTCTTAGTTGAACTCATTAACGCTGCTACTTTAAAGCACAGGTTGCTGTGTGTGTGTTTCTTGCTGGTTCTTCCCAGGACAGAGGTTTTTTTTTCGAACCAGTGGTAATCATACACAAGAGTAACTTTCAATAAGTATTATTTATAATCTATATTGAATAAAAAAGTTTCTGTTTCTGTTGAGTAAATGTAATTGTGAATAGAGTAGACATCCATATGATAGTGTATTTTTTTATTTATTCCCAACTATGATGAAAGAAAATGAATATTTAATTTTTTGTTGTATTAAAGCTTTTAACGATTTGCCGGTACTACAAATGTTTTGCATTTAGCACATTTACTGTGTGCTATAAAAATTAAACGGATTCCCATACCTTCTTAAAGTTATTTAACCCTCGTTCAAGTCAGTTTACGATTAGTTTATTCGGCTGTCTCTAATTTAACTAAGGCTATCAAAATTGCTAACTTAATATATTTCTATAGCCTTGGGATGTTTAATGAAGATATAAATAGCTTGTATTAATTTTATTAGTTCATTACGTTAAAGTTTTCGTAAACTAAACAGAAAAAAAATGTTCTATGGAAACATTATTACAAGTTTTAAGAATTCTTATTAAAATAAAAAAAGAATATTTGAAATATTTTGCTTATTTTTGAAAAGCATGAAGAAGTTTTTCACAATTTAAGGCTACATGCGCATTGAGGCAAAAGTGACCGGCTTGTTAAACAATAGGGTGTATAGCACGTATGAACGTTAATCAAACTGGCCGGTTTTAAAATCTGTGACGAGACACAAAATCTATTGTCATCGGCCGATGCGACGCTGTAAATATAGTTTTATACGTGTTGCCGAGACCCGTTCAACTGGTCATCATTAAATAAGCAACACGCTTTTAATTGCGCCCCAATTGAATGAATCATCAACAATTAGGAAAAATAGCCTTTGATTGAAACACGCTTCTGATGATGTTATCTTAAATCTTTGTAGGACCGGTCAAAATATCCCTTCACTAATCTTGAACAAACTAACGGATGCACATAGTATTTTAATATTATTTTAATATTCAACCGGTTGATCGCCCGACTAAACGAATGGGCCATGCGCGACCAATTCCACAACTGCCGGAATGACCTTAGTTTTCATACGCAATTGATTAATGTTTCCAAATATTTATTATTTTGTGTGGTTTTTCATATTTATTCACGGTAGAGCTATACTGCAGTTATATAATGGTTGTAGCATGAAGGCAAACGAGGCATTCCATCTTAGTCCACAGAGGTGACAACGCATCTGCATTTCGAATCTAAACCGAGGACATATGTAGATGTCTATGGGCGTACTATCCACTTTCCATTAGTTGAACTGTGGAACTGTGTACTTGTGTGTCACCCTTGTTTTATAAAAAACATGTGTGCAGTTATCACGCAGTAAAACTGAAACCTTAAAATGAAATGTATAAAATAAAATATATAAAATAAAAACATTTCACAACAAATGATTTGTGATGATAATTTGATGAATTTCAACCACAAGTTCGGTATAAAATATAAGATAACATTTTAATTTTATTTCTAAAGAGAGGTGTAGCCTAATGTTAAAAAGTCTATAATATTTTTCGTGAATCTGGCGCTGACATACAAAAATAATTTATCAAATCGGACAGGTAGTTCCAGAGATTAGCGTGTTTAAACAAAAAAAAAACCTCTGCCGCTTTATTATATTAGTATAGACTCTATCTCATTCTTTCCTATAGATTTCAATATTTGTCTCTTTTAGTAACGCTTTTTCGTTTCATTTGTTTCAAATTACATCGATACTGACGATGCTAAAGAAGTTATCATTTCAAAAAGTGTTTTTGAGTAATCATCAAAAGAAAATCATTTGCTTCTAAAAGATTTCTCAAACTGATGGGTTTCCATTAAATGATAACTGGGACAAACGGCGTTATTAATTTCTAGTGTAATAATTTCAGTTGAAGACGTAGTAAGATAATTTGAATAAAATATTAGTAAAAAGTAAGTTAATCTGCAAATCAAATTTTATTGAAGTTATTAATTCATTCTTTAATATTGCCTTTTGAATTATTGAGGCCTCAAGGCTTCTTTTTACTTCGCTCTCCTAGTCATTATTAAAGATGGTATATGAAGAAATTTGCATAAATTAAGCATCGTTAGACTAAATATCAAAAAAAAGATATTCAGTATGCGCATGTTAGCCAGTTTTTTTCACAGAATATCAGCGTAAAATAGCAGATTAACGCTGTGCTTCGTATAGAACCGGATACCATTTTATTGGAAACGAGGCATTCCATCTTAGTCCTCACGGGTGACAACGCATCTGCATTTTGATTCGTAATTGAAGATAGATGTTAATATCTATGGATCACAGCAACCACTTACCATCAGGCAGACTGTTTGTCACCCTTATCCTATAAAAAAAACCTCTTCTTTTGAATGGAGACATCGTGCTAATTGGTCAATGGATAACTACAGCATTGGAAACTTTTAAACGCTGATTCAAACAACTTGTACGTGTTCCCGTTACAGTAGAAAATTGTGGGATTCGCCACAATTTTTCTTACATGTATTTATAACCAGACCATTTCATTTATTTGTTGTACAAACATTATTATATTAGTTGTGTTAATTTTGGCCTATTTGCTATTTAAATATCATTATTTTATTTCATATTGTGAATAGATTTGTCTAATAAAATATAACCCTAGATCACTTATAGCATCTCTCTTTATCTGTTCGTAATTTTTATCACAATTGGTTCAGCCATTTTTCGTATTAGCCCGGGCAGATAGACAGACACTCAAGAATTTTATAAATAGTCATGTCTTAATAACATGTCAACGAGCCCCTGAGCTTAATATAAACCATTATTTCGATATTACAGATAGATTTTATTTATATTTATGTATATGTCGCAGTAAGATTGTTGAAGCCGTGACATAGTTATATCCCTAGGGATATTAACCATATAACGTAATATAAATGTCTTTCTGGGAATATAACAATGATACGAGCATGATTTAGTAATATAATTATCTTATTAGACTAATATAGGGAAACAATTATAACTACACATGTCACAGTCAAAACTCATAACCGGTCAAAACAACTTTTGACTGCAATAATCGGGCAAAAGTAGTTTTGATTAAGGACGTCGCACTATACTACTTTTAGACTTTCACTTTTTGTATTTTAAAAATTAAAAAGTTCAATTCTTTGATATTATAGTTTATATATGCCTTAACCTACTGTCATAAAAGTAACACAAACATCAACACGAGAGGAACTAAAGATCTAATGCCTATGTTGTGAAATTTGTTGAAGGACTCTTTTTTTAATTTTTTCAACAGCTCATTTAAAGTTGTCTACAGATTTATCTTTTTGGTGCTAAATGATTTTTCGTTCTTGCATGAATTACATTACATAACCTTCACCACATGAAGATATTTCACAAATAATATAAACATTTAATCTACACGAGTTATACAAATTGTCTGAAATCTGTCAATTACGACACTAGTGGGGTAGGTACTATTTTGCAAAATTTCGTGGTAGAGACTTATAATATACTATAAATATACTATAATATACTTTCGATCCGGTCTAGCTCGACTGGGTAGGATCTATTAGTGTGGCGATATTTAGATCTAAGAAAATCAAATATCATTTATTATTCGGTTTATTTTTTTAATAAGTCTCCAAGTTTTTCGGATAAAATATATCCTAAATCATTCCTGGTATTGCTCTCTATTTTTTTTGTGAAGTTTTATTGAATCCAAGCTGTTAGAAAAGTAAGCCCTAACAGACAGACAAACAATTTTTTTACAAATGGTTATTTATGTTTAAATGGCATGCAATTTGCCCTCTTATCTCAATATATTGCTCACTTCAACTTTATCTAGATGTATAGATGAATTGGCACTTACTTGTGTATAAGCAGAGTTATGGATCAAAAAGTTTTTTGATGAGAAGAGTCTGATGCGCGGTGGCGAACAAGTAATACCTAAATGCTTTAAAATTTTCACACGTGTAGGTTTCTAAGGTATTTTCTTTTACCGCTGATTGCGTGTACTTAAAATGTGAGTAACCATTTTCGTGGTATCGCCGGGCATCGAACTCTGGTTGTGCGTGAACTATAAAATTTAAAGCCAGCGAACTATATCTCAGGTACCAAAATTCTATAAAAAAAAAAGAAAACTGAAAGTAAAACATTATTAAGATATTATTGCTTATAATTATTTTCGATTGTTTACAGGTTTGGTAAGCGCTCGGACGCGTACACGAACTGGGCCAAGGATTCGGAAGTAAGTTGTAACCTATTATTCTTTCTTATAATTAATACTAGCTGTTCCGGAACATGTTCTGAAATTTCCAGTAGGTGGCGTGAAATTTCACTCTGGATTTATTACATTGTAAATCGTCATCTATCAAGTCCATATTTAGTGATTTTCTTTTTGGCACTTACCAAATATGTAATTTGGTGAAGACTTGACTACAACGACATCTGTCGGATCCTAAGAGAGCTGTGAACCATCTGAGTTAACATAACCTTAATCGGTCAAGATGTTCAGAAGATACACGATCACTGACGGCCGCAACAACGATTATATTATGTATATGTATATAATGTGTAAAACATTTTATATATGATACATATTTACTGCTTACTGAAAACAAAGTTTAGTAGGAGAATTTGTATTTTTAACCATATAATAGGAGTCAAAAGAAGCCAAGTAATAATATATCTTCTATCTATAGAAATAAATAAAATTGAAGTGTGTGTTTGTAATGTTAAAATAACAGCTATTTACTAAATGCATATTTTATCAAAAAAAAAACAATTTTTAAATTTTTGACTGTCTTTCTGTCTGTTTGTTCTGGCTAATCTCCGAAAGGGCTGGACCAATTTTGACGAGACCTTCACTGGCGGATAGCTGATGTTATAAGAAGTAACTTAGGAAACTTTTATTTTAGAAAAAGAATTAGGGTTTCGCGCAAAAAATTGAAACTCATGAAATCGTAATAAATTCCACGCGGGCGAAGTCGCGAGGGACATAAAACACTAACACGTCTGTCTGAACACGCATCACGCAAAAACCTGTTAACCGATTGGGATGGGGATTTTACTGGCAGATAGCTGATGTTATAAAGGAGTAACTTAGGCTACTTTAATTTTAGAAAAAGAATTAGGGTTCCGCGCAAAAAAATTAAAACCCATAAAATCCAATCGGAATAAATTCCACGCGGGCGAAGTCTCGGGAAACAGCTAGTAACAATAAATTTACAAACAATAAATTTATATTAGATAATAACTACTTTTTATTCTCACAGAAATAAATCTTTTCTCTAACACCCGTACCATATATTAACATAAATGATAGCCATTAGACAAATCCTTTGTTAGCGTCAACAGAATTACCTCGTAAAGAAACATTTTATTACTATAATATGACCATTAGAAATAGTTTTAGTCACCTGTATTTAACACAAACAGTTTCGTAACGGGACGCGTTTCATGTTTCTTCAACCCAATAAATTTAAAATAAACGAGTCTCGTGAGCCGTGGTAGCTCAGATGGTTAGCACTCGCTGTAGATTTCACAAGCAACCAGGCTTCTATCCCCGCCGGCACCAATGAAATTGTTAATTGCAATGTTAAGTGCTGATTTACCACGTGCTCGGTGTTGAAGGAAAACATCGTGAGGAAACATGCATGTCTGAGAAATAAGAAAAAAAATATTTCGAAGAAATGTGAAGTTCGCCAGCACGCATTGGGGCAGCGCGACGGACATTTTCTTGCCCTAAAACCCTCTCAGAAATGAGGAGAGGCCTGTGCCTAGCAGTGGAACGTATATAGGCTGTAACTTTAACTTTCTTTAAGTTTTAAACGAGTCTCTGAGGAATGAGAAATGATGGTATATCTATTTGAAAATGTACTCGAATTTCGTAGACTGAAGTTGGTAGCACCGTTATGAGTGCGAGAATATCAGATTTATTTTTAAAAGTAAAGTAATAGCCTGTACACATCCCAATACCAGATGCAGACCTATTCTCATTCCTGAAAAGATTATGGAACGATAAGCCCGCAGCGACAAGAGTAAGAATATCCACTACACCATATCGACATGTGAGTGTCTTAAGAGGCGATAGAAGGAAGCAAATCAGCGCAGACAGCAGCGTCTTCCTAATATCAACAAAAAAACTGCAGTTGCCAACCCGCCTACCAAGCGTGGCAACTACAAATATACCCCCATACGAGGGAATCTTAGGGTGAGGCCTATGTTCGGCAGTGGACTTTGAATAACCTGTAACCGTAGTCCGCAGTGCGTGTTCCCAGAGTTACACGGTCACATAACATTTTATCTCATAATATTTGAATTATTTGAGACCATTTTATTTTCTCCTTTTCCTCGCGGTGTTTTCTTCATTATCAAACACGTGGTAAAGTAACATTTAAAATTGCAATTAACACGGTGCCGACGGGGATGGAACTCGGGTTGCTTGCATACTCTTTTACAATGTCTGAGGAATTGTTCGGACTAATTCCAGCCGCTCAATTTCACCATCGCAGATCGCGACAAAACTAGCGATACAATCCATACCATCTGGATGATTGGCAGTCTACCAATGTGCGATTTAGAAGAAGTTTTCTTCCTCGCACAACTTCCTTGACCACCAACGATTTTTCCGAACCGATACGACTTAGAGACCTTCAAGAAAAGAGCCTAATCCTTTTTAAAAGGCCGGCAACGCATCTGCAAGTCCCCTGGTGTTGCAGTTGTTTATGGGTGGCGGTAGTTACTTACCATCAGGTGAGCCGCATGCTCGTTTGCCCCCTCTCCTATAAAGAAAATGTGGTAGGTTTACTATTCTGCCTAGGAGTCTATCTGAGTGGGTACCATTGTCTTACTTAAGTCTGCCGCCTAAAGGCAGTTGCATTGCTGTGTTCCAGTTTGATGCGTATAGAGAGCGATTATATATAATTACAGGTTGTGGAGGACATATCTGCAAAATATTTATCTCTAAATTGAAATAAAAACTCTTAAATTGAAGTTGTTTATAAAAATTAATTTGTTAACATCCGCTTTACAAATGTTAATATTTTACATAACATGTGTGGTGTCCAGAATTGAAATTCATAACTATATTTATTATAATATAGCAATATTAATATTGTATATGAACACTGTTATATTACACTCGTATTCCGTTGTCGAGTTTCCCATTCAGTTTATAATAAAGATATATATTTCTCAGCGCTCAGTCAAGATTGTAAAATACCACAGTAATATTATGAAACTGCTTTGAATATCACGAGCCAATATTCCCGCTTAGTATCGTCTATGGGCGCTAGGATTTAAGCACATTATTTTACAGCATCATATTGAGTATCTAATGTTACTCGGTGTGATAATTTACGTTCACTATGGATCAAATATTGATCATACATTTACAGGTATAATCAGATATGGATGTAATTATATATTCAGTATATTAAATGAGTTTGTTATTTTATTACTTTATTTTTTTAAATTCAATAAAATAAAGAACTGACTTCGAGCTAAAAAAATAATATAACACATAATTTAATAGCCTCGGCCTTCAGAAGCTATTAAATTATTTTGAAATTATTTTACTTTTATTAAGTCGGTTTTTAACTTTTTATAAAGTTTAAATATTTATATATTTTTCAACCAATAATCATCGTCAATTAGTGGCAGTTAATACGGTCATCACCTCGTAAACAAAATGGTTGTGTGGAGCCTCGGTTCCAAGACTTTCGGTTTGGCATGCCCCACTTATCTAGCCCAATTTTTCGAAAAATTAAAACAAATGTTTTAAACTATCACTAATTTTAAAACAAAATATTCTCATGTAATATTCTCATGTAGCTAAACATTAAAGTAATTTTCACGTGAATATTGGTTATAAACGCGCAAAACCTATTTTGTAGGTATATACAACATGTAACAAAAACCCTGTGGTTCCCGTTAAGTGCGTTATCAGAGTCAGTATTCAAATGTAAAGAAATAAGTTTTTTTTCAAAAAACTTTAACATTAAAAAAATAATTTTTATTAAAAAAAAACAATTTGCAAATTGTGTGTGATTTTATTACCTCTGAATTATCCGGAGAATAAGAGGATTGTGAAAACCCCCCTTTCACCGATGCTTGTGTCAGTTAGAGGTAATAAAAAAAAAACACATACAATTTGCAAATTATTTCTTTTAATTAAAATTATTTTTTTAAAGTACAAGTTTTTGAAAAAAAAAAATATTTCTTTACGTTTGAATACTGATTTTGATAACGCGCTTAACGGGAACCACGGGGTTTTTGTTATATGTTTAAACCGCCTTATACAATATGAATACCTTTAATGGTTTTGTTTCATTAGTGTTGTACATTCCATAGGCTTTCGGATCCTAAATTAAGAAGTAACGAAATCTTTCGTTACTTCTTAATTTAGGATCCGATCGATCCGAAAGATCTCTATTCTTGAGTTTTCAATCAAACAGTTGAAAATAAATCGATTTTTACTGTCTACTCACGCGTCATCCGTTAAAAATAAAAAATTTGAATTTGGAAGATTTCCAAAAACTTTTTAAATAGGTTGTGATAACACTAACGTTGCTCAAGTTTAGGTTGGCGCATTTCATTTTTATTAGATTTTTCATATGAAGTGTTCAGCTTCCGACAAATTTCTTAAGTCGCCGTTGTACTATGTGTGTACTGTGTAATTATGTTATAGTCATGTGCATGAATCGCGTGACAAACTCAGGTTGTATGCACTCCAAAATATTAGCTATTGAACTACCACCGCTCTTAAGGGGGGCGGCGTAAGAGATTCATTACAGCGTTTCGTTCCGTGGGTGTTCTAAGAAACGGCTCTGGAAAATGCAAGAAAAATGGCTTCGAATAATTTTATTAAATATTACTTATTTTTTATAATATTCGGTGGTCTGTAAGTTCATTTGATACTTCGGTTGTATAAAAAATTGTGGTATTACCACATCCGTTTACTCTAGACGTAAAATACCTGGACCGGCGATGGACAGAACCGATACGTTTTTCAGTTTTATTTGGCGGACTGGTCAAAAGCTCTTATTTCAATACTAGCGATCCGATTTCTGGAACTCAACATAAGCGCCACTTACCGGGTCCAAATATGGCTAAGAAATATCCAAGTGATCTTACGTACCCCATAAAAATTATCAAAATCGGTCAAGTCGTTTAGGAGGAGAAGAATTACGAACACACACACACCGGAATTTTTTATATAACGATGGTCGGGAACCCGGCGAAGAGTAACGTCAATCCAGTTTCACTTGTGGAATATTATCTGATATAGATTTTCTTGTAAAATTAATATATCCTACAAGTCCACGTTAGATAATTTATTCGGCCGGAAGTCTTGCGAAAACCTATAGTTTTAGCGTTAGGTCTTTTGCTCTATTCGATGACATGCAAACTTATAAAAGTACTATTTTAACATAAAAACTGTATGTCAATAATTTATGAGACTCCAAATGGCAAATGCATTTGCTTGTAAAATGTTTTGACAAATTTGCTGTAAGTTGGTAGCTGATAACTCATAGGTTAAGCGCTCGCCGTGTTGCATCGTGTTTAACTTCCAATTTTCTAGCAATTTTAAGTACTGACTTACTCTTTTCTGAGAAAACTGCTAGGCAACGAAAGAAAACATTGTGAGAAGACTAGCATGGAGCAGCATGGTGGACTAATTTTTCAACCAACGAGTTGGAAGCGGGCTGTAGGTGGCCTGAAATGTAGGACCTGTAGGACTGCTCGTCTTTTACTACTTTCACAAAAAAGTAACAATTTACTTTACGTCACATTTTTTTATAGGATAAGGGCGTCATACGAGCACACAGTCCACCTTATGGTAAGTGGTTGCTGCGGCCCACAGACATCTACATCTATCATCGATTACGAACCAAAATGCAGATGCGTTGTCACCCGTGAGGACTAACATGGAATGCCTCGTTTCCAGTAAAAAGGATATCTGGTTCTCTACACTCACCATATGAAACACAGCAGTGTTAAACTGCTATTTGACGCTGGTACTCTGTGAGAGCGTAGTCCTTCCCCGGTCGAGCCGAGCCATTCGTGCTACAACTATACTACTAATATATCTGCAGCATGGCTCTACCACGTAATATAAAACATCAAGTCACATGATATAAAGCTGTCATATCAAAGCTTTACTTCAAATCGAGTCGTTGTTCTAACAGGGTCAGCTTTTCCCGCTAAACAGATATTTTATCTTCTTTCTTAAATTTATTTAAAATGTATTTTTTTATTTCAGAGGCCAGACTTACCAACGTGGTTGTCTTATGCCAGGAGGAGATGAGATGTGTAATCCTACCGGCGCCAAACCTAAACAGCCTATCACCAATATTCAACCTTTACGTCAATGTACCGGACACAAATGCTATTTTACAGATATAACACTTGTTACGTAATGTTTAGATTTTTCTAAGAAATATTCAATTTGAATTAGAAAATTAGAATGTGAAGTTCATGATTTTATTTTTAATTTTCTTGAAATTATTTTTTTTAACTGACCAGTGTTTTGCATATTGAGGGGGATTTTTTTAAGCTTGAGTACAGTTTATACATATTTCTTGTAAAGCAGTAATATCTATAGAAATATTCGACTCATATCATCTCTAAATTGTGTATTCATATTCATAGTGTGCATCATAAATGTAACAACCTTATCATTGTAATGTTATGAATAAATACAAGCAATTGAAAAAACGTAATATTACATTTTTGTTTTATTTTAATGTACCTTAATACTATAAAAAGGGCAATTGTCTTTGTTCGAGTAAGGAACAAATCTCTCTTTTATTTTGTGATTTTATTATATAAAATTTTTGATCAAGGGGCAAGTTAACAAAGGTACAACAGTAAACAAAGGGACTTTTAAATTTCGTTTGAACAAATTGAAAAACTATAATTTAAAATTAAAACTGTGTACCACCGACTGCAATATAAGTTTTTAAAAATAACTCAAAAACTATTGATCAGACCTTGGTCAAATTTATATGGGACCACACGTGAAGCACATCGGAATCGGTTCATCCAAAAAAAAGTTATGCGGTGAAACACATAAAAAAAAACATACAGTCGAATTGAGTACCTCCTCCTGTTTGAAGTCGGTAGAAAAGACGCACACTATTTGTAGAACGAAAAGAAAATAAAAAGAAATCATATCAAGGGTTTTTTTTTCTTTGATATTTTATTTTAAATATAACTGAAGAGGCAAACGAGCCCATGGACACTTGACACCAAATTCAAACAAAGAAGGCTAGACATGCGGTGTCACCTCTGTGAAATAAGATGGAATGCCATACATTCTGTAATTATAATACAATAATACAATACAAACACTCACGCATTTCACGGAGAGGGGTAGGCAGAGACTACGGACTTCCATTTGGCGCGACCCTGACACACCTCTTTCGCCTCTTTTACATCCATATATCTACGCATACACGCTCGTCGGTTAAGGGTACTCCTAATCTGGCCCATTTTTAATGTATCGCCGATTTGGTCGATAAACCTGCGTCTAGGCTGTCCCTTCCCGACCCTGACCTTCACTTTGTCACTCTTTCCTCGTTCATTCTTTCTACATGACCAAACCACAGAAGCATTCCTTTCTTAATCCTTGTCACAACGTCATCTTGCAAAACACACTTTTCTCTTATCGCACTATTTCTCACCCTGTCATTCAGATTCAGCCCTAGCATACTCCTTGAGGACCGCATTTCTACAGCATTTATTCTACTCTCATGCTTCTTCTGCCAGACCCAACTTTCACTACCATACATTAAAGTAGGGACTAACACAGCATTATGAATTGCCATGCATGCCTTAGTTGACACATTCTGACTCCTCATAATAGCGTGTAGAGCCCCATTCACTCTATTTCCTGCGTTCACTCGTCGTTCTATATCCTTATCATATCTACCATCCCTGCTTAATAAACATCCCAAATATACAAACTCATCCACTTGCTCAATCAACTCCCCTTTCTTCTATATATTATTTTTCTATTCTTCTATTTCACATAATTATTTCACATAACGTTTTACTTTCTTCTTTTTCAAAAACCATCACTTTCGTCTTACTTGCGTTAACATTCATACCCCAATGACCAGTTCATTAAAGTAGCCATCATTTGCAACTCGGCCGCCGACGATGCAAATATGACTTGATCATCGGTGTACAAAAGGCATTTGACGGTTAACTCACTCATTCTCAAACCACATTCTTCAACTTTCAAAGTTTGCAAACAACTGTCCACATATACAGCACAGCAGCCACGGGGAAGCCATACATCCCTGTCTGACACCTTTATGAATGCCAAACCAGTCCGAGTAGACCCCGTTGATCCTGACTCAAGCACTAGAGTCCCTATTAAGAGACCTTAATGTCTGTATCAAGCCAGCGCTTAACCCAAATGAGTTCAGTGTTTGCCATAACACATTTCTGTCCACTCTGTCATAAGCTTTTTCCAAGTCAATGAATGCACAAAAGCTTTCTGGTTTTTGGCCAAAAACTTCTCCGCATCATGCGCATGGAAAAGACTTGATCCGTACACCCCATCCCCTTTCTAAATCCAACTTGCACATCCCAAATTTTTCCATCAGTTTCTTCCATAACTCTTTCAATTAACACCCTAGCATTCAGTTTACCCACAATGCTAAGCAAGCTGATCCGGATATAACGGCTTTGCACCATTTGCGTTCCCCTCTGTCGAAGTATAAGTCCACGCGGTCCACAAATTTTCGCTGTCACCGAGTTATAATGTATCCATGTGTGTGTGTGTGTGTGTGAAGTTGATCTTTTATTGTTTTAATTGTTATGTGTGAGTTTCTTAGTAACAGACAATTGTTTTGTGTGCGTAGATTTCTTCCCGCAAAAAACGCCAGACAGTTCTGTAGAAGGAAAAAAACGCTATGGCTACTTCACCCAGTCCGCTGGTGGCTCGTGTTGCTCTATGAGTGCTAATAACCCGACGTGTTCATTTAATATTCATTATTGAAGAACTTTATAAAAATGATGAGTCGCTCGCGTCCGTAGGCTTCGACCACCTAATCCTAGGCCCACTCTACACGTGTCCCCGGGTGGTGCTAAACTAGCGACAAAGCCGATAGGATAGACTCGGCTCCTCGTCGTATGGTAGCGGCGTGGAATCTACCACACCTTAGTTCGCACCATGAGCCAAGAAATAAAAGAAATGGCCCCGAGTTCCCGGCGCCCCTTTAATAGGGCAGGGGTGCGAAGAATCTCCGGGAGAAAAACCGGCGACGAGGTTCGCCACCCGTCACGTCCTGTCTCCCGGAGGGGCGAAAAATGGATAGCGGAGGCCCGTCTGGCTACGCTGAATGTATGTGGAGCAATGAATGATAAGATGGATGAAGTATGCGAAATGATGAATGATAGAGGAATAGATGTGTTATGTGTAAATGAGACGAAACGAAAGGGAAGAGATGTCACTGCACATGGCATGTATACCGCTTACTGGTCTGGTGTAGACGAGACCGAGCGGGCATACCAGACTGTCGGTGTCATCCTTTCAGGAAGAATGGGTCAATGTGTGAAAGAGTATGAATGTGTAAGCCCAAGGCAGCTGTGGATACGAATGAAAGTGGGCTTACAGAAGTTGTTTATGCTAGGGGTGTACGCCCCAGATATGTCTAAGCCCACTTATATCCGAGAGCAGTTTTGGGACATGGTAAGGCTGGTGTTAATGAAATGTAAGGAAAATGAAAATATTATTATGTTAGGAGATTTTAATGAAAGGGTTGGGGTGAAGAGGTCTGGTTATGAAAGGATATTAGGAACGTTTGGCGATGAAAGAATAAATGATAATGGTGAAGACCTCCTCACCGTTTGTGTGGAAAATAATATTTTTATGGCGAACACTTTCTTTCGCCATAAGAGGATTCACATGTATACATGGGAAAGAGGGGATGATAGAAGCATGATAGATTTCATAATTGTGGATGAAAGAATGAAGAGCGCAGTGGTAGATACAAGGGTTTACCGAGGGTCCAACTTAGGGACGGATCATTACTTGGTATGCCGAATTAATGGTCTATTCAGGCGTTGGCCTCATCGGACCTCTATGTCTACCACTGCGTTTTTTTTTTTTTTTTTTTTTTTTTTTTTTTTTTTTTTTTTTTTTTTGTAATTACTCATTTCATCTGCTGTTATTTCTTTTACAGCACCTTTTATATCTTTTACATTTTATTCTATCAGTTTTGATACTTTTTTTTTTTTTTTTTTTTTTTTTTTTTTTTTTTTTTTTTTAGCGTACATGGTTTCTTACTCTATTTGCCACTTATTCCTATTCTTTGCTTCTAAACACTTCTATTACTTCTACATCTTCTATTCGGATAACAATTTCTTATTTTCCTTAATAACTTTTGTCTACTTAAATCTTACTACTTCTCCAGAGTATTTCTAGTTTTCATAAGTACTGTTAATCAGTATTATTCTTATTGTCTAAATTTCAAATCATCAGTAAGAAGTGCTATAGTTATCAAGCCTAAGCTTTTATCTACATCTTTTGTGGTTAAGTGTTACTATTGCCTACTTATAACTATTGCTATTACAACTATATTTTCTTAAGGCTAATATATCTTGGACCCATTTCCTTGTAATACTTTCCTCAGACACCTTTCGGCAAATTCAAGGAAATGAGTTCGACTGTCATTGTCGTTGACTGCCCTGCAGAGAGTGTCTTCTCTCAGCGCAAATCCCATGCGGTGTTCGCAACAGAGTCTTAAAGCTGCGTGTTTAGGGCAATCTATGAGAATGTGTTCTATGGTCTGTGGTGTTAGGTGGTCACAATCACAGTATGGGCTCTGCGCTAACTTAAATCTATGTAAGTATGCTTTAAAACCCCCATGTCCCGTGAAAATTTGACACCTCAGGTTACTGACTGCAATCTTCTTAATTGTTGTATACGCCTGGGTCACGTTTGGGAAGAACTTCTTTGTGACTCTACCTGTGTCTGATGTTGTGTACCGTTCTTGCCAGATAAGCAAAGTGTTGTCCCTAATGTGGCGCTTTGCGAGGGACAGAGGGAAGCAATCGTATACCGGTGTCTGTTTTGATGTTTCCGCTGCCGACTTAGCTAATTCGTCAGCCCTTTCATTCCCCTGGATGCCGCAGTGAGCTTTGATCCAATATAGGCTCACTCTTCCCTGTTGCCTCTCTATTTCCATTATGCGATCTAGAATTTCCGCTGCTATGGGGTGTAAGGTGTTAGGATTTGTTAGGCATTCTAGAGCTGATCGTGAGTCACTCAGGATATTTGCTTTCTTAAGAGTGTGTCTACGCAGCATTATTTCGGTGGCTTTTAAGATGGCAGCAAGTTCCGCTTGGTAGACACTGCAATGGCTTCCGAGTTTTAATTTGGTCTTGTGGATTTCTCTACCATCCTTCCAACAAGTAATGGCAGCGCCTACTTTACCTGCGATTTTGCTGCCATCGGTGTATATGCACGGCCAGTCGTTTCCAATAGCCTTTATTTCGTTTTCAGATGTTATCAGTTCAAACCGTTGTCTTGTCCTGTCTGCTGGGTGTGGTAGCGTGTAAGGGCTTATTGGTTTCGCTAGTGTTCTGCCTGGTAAATGCGAAATAGGTTTGCCTCTCTTTATCATGTAGATCTCAGCATTTTCTAGGGCTCTTAAATCTAATGGGATGATTCGGGCTAATGTTGTGCATGTTTAAACCACTATGTTGCGATTATTAACATATACATGGAAGGGGCTCAAGACGTCGAACAAGACCTAAGAATAATTTCCAACTACAGAAACATTCTAGACTCAGAAAATATAATCATTGGAGGAGACCTTAACGCAAAGAGTCCCTGGTGGGGTTGCGATGTGGAGGATAGACGGGGAACAGCTATATCGGAATCATTTGCACAGCTGGAACTACATATACTGAACACAGGGAAAACACCAACCTTCTGGGCACACAGAGGAAATAGAGATTATACCAGCATCGTCGATGTTACTGCATGTTCAAATGATCTACTCAACAAAATAACGAACTGGAGAGTCAACCCTGATTTTGTCACCTTATCAGACCACAGAGCTATAACGTTTAGTGTTAACCTCGAAAAAATAACGGCAGAAGCCACTCAGAGACAAACTACACGTATCTATAATACAGGGAAAGCAGATTGGGCAAGTTTCACCCATTTTCTGAAGGAGGAACTAAAAGTACTGAAGATCACCGAGGAATCCATCACTGAAATAGGAAACACAGACGCTTTAGAAGATCTTGTACAACAATACGTCGATTGCATTCTGAGATCCTCCGACAAAGCTATTCCAAAGCTGGCAAAAACCATTAGCGCAAAGACTCCATGGTGGACAAAACAACTAAGCGACAAGAAAAAAGATGTAATCCGAAAAAGAAGGAAAATCAAACATGCCAACCAGAACAGAAGACAATCAGTGATTGAAGATTATATAACTGCTAAAGCAGAATACAAAAATCTCCTGACTGACACTCTCACTTCAAGCTGGAAAGACTTCTGTAAAAAACAAGACCGTGAAAATTTGTGGCAAGGGATATACAGGATTATAAGGAAATCGAGCAGAACTCCGGAGGATACATTGTTACGAGAAACGACAACTAGTAAGATAATGACCCCGGAAGAGTCTGCTAAAATATTATCTGAAACTTTTTATCCATATGACGATATCGAAACGGATGAACAACCACACTCAGAGATGCGACAAAAGGCTGAAACAATCAAGAAAGAATGGGCGAAGATCACCAAAGAAGATACCACAAAACCATTCACAAACACTGAGGTAGAATTTATTCTTCAATCAATGAGCCCTCGGAAATCGCCAGGAGAAGACAGTCTTACAGCCGACATATGTTACAAAGCTTATGCGGCTCTTCCACAGATACTCTTGGCAATTTACAACAAATGCCTTGCACTTGGACACTTTCCAAAAATCTGGAAAAGCGCAATAATTAAAGTCATCCCAAAGCCTAACAAGGAGAACTACACACTTCCAAAATCATATCGGCCAATAGGACTCTTACCTGTACTGGGAAAAGGGCTTGAAAAACTATTCGTTAATCGAATGACCTGGCAGATCGGCTCAGAAAATAAAATGAGCGGTCGGCAATACGGGTTTGTCTCACAGAGAGGGACTGAGGACGCCCTATGCGACGCCCTTGAGGTTGTCAGGCAGGGTTTAAAAAACAGTGAAATTGTTGTGATTGTCTCCATTGACATTGAAGGAGCTTTCGATAACGCTTGGTGGCCCGCAATGATTAATGAGCTTGATAAGAAAAAGGTTGACAAATCTGTATGTAGGCTAATCGGAAGTTATCTCACAGATAGACAAATAAAATTAACATACGCAGGTAGTGAGATAATAAAACAAACCAACAAAGGATGCATACAAGGATCTATTTGCGGACCTTTGCTGTGGAACCTGCAACTTGACCCATTACTAAGGGAGGTAGAAGAACTAGGCACCCACATACAAGCGTACGCAGATGACATATTAGTCATTGCGAAAGGGAAAGCAGTAAAGGACCTAGAACAAGAACTTAATACAGCACTTGATCACATACTTGCTTGGGCTAAAACTAGGAAGATGAGACTGGCGGCTCAGAAGACGCAAGCCATCCTACTAACTAGGAAATTAAAATATGAAACTCCATCGTTATCCCTCGATAATAAAGCAATAACGTTCTCTAACAGCATAACAATCCTTGGACTCACGATAGACGCCAATCTCAACTTTGTAAAGCACGTAGACGTAGTAACGGAAAAGGCAATTCAGCTTTACAAAAAGGTCTCAAGAACGGCACGAGCCAATTGGGGTCTTAATTCTGAAATTCTCAGAACAATATACATAACAGTGGTCGAACCAACAATCTTATATGCGGCGGGGGCATGGGGCACAACGGCCAATAAAAAGCAAATAAAAACAAGACTCGACAGAATCACCAGAACTTTTGCAATAATGGTTAGCAAAGCACACCGCACAGCATCTTTGATATCTACCACTGCGTTACAGCTTATAAGAATAGAGAGGTTACAGGATGAAGGTGTGAAAGAGAAGTATAAATGCAGACTGAGGGAAAATATAAGTGGGTTGAATGAATTATGTATGAATGATTTAGACTTGAAGAATGCATGGAATAATATTAAGAAAGTTTTGGTGGATGCCACCGAAGTATGTGGTGTAAGTAAGAGAAAGAATGAAAGGAAAAGTAATACGTTGTGGTGGGATGATAAGGTACGGATGAAAGTTGAAGCAAAGAAGAAAGCATGGCTAGATTTACTAGCAACCAAAACTGGTAAATCTGGCGGTATAAATGATGAGAATGAAAGAAAAAGGCAGACTTTAGACGTATAAATAAGAGAGTAAAAGAACTTGTTGAAAGGAAAAAGCAAGAAAGGATAGATAAGAATGATAGAAGGATATCTGATAACTTCCAGGAAAATATTAAAATGTTCTGGAAGCTCGTAAGAACAGCCAGGGGAAATTCAAAACAGCCTAGAATGAATGCTATACGAGACGAGAATGGCTGCATGCTGAATGATGAAGTTTCGAATTTAAAGAGATGGAAGGAATACTTTGAAAGCGTGTTTAAGAGTGAAGAGTCGTCTGAAGAAGTGGAGAGAGGTAGAGAGATAAGTGTAGATGAAATAATGAAAGCAATGAAAAGGATGAAGGTAAGGCAGTCGGATATGATAGAATATCACTCGAAATGCTAAGGGCTGGAGAGGATGTGGTTGCAGGCCTGCTGTGCACCTTGTAATTATACTGACTCTCTATACTAGGAGTGAGGCGTATTAATACTTTCACTGTCCGATTTTCAGACACAATACCGTAGTACACGGGACAGCAAATGGGTTAATTGTAATAAAAATCAGATTTTTAAAATCACAGAATTGTTATGTCTAAACATAAATTCATGTTCCACTAGCACCCAATGTTCGAAGACATGTCGGAAACAGCTTGGAACAAGCTCTTCTATGTCCTTGCTTAGGGAGGTTACTTAAAATAAAAAGAGAAAACCTGTATTACCCGTTCTCGTAAAATGCCTACTATCACATTCGGAAACACAATACCGTAACAGCCTATCAGAAGTCCATGCTGACCATTAGCTTCCCCGATATTTGCCATAGTTTCGATGTTTGGTAGGCGGAGTGGAAACAGCAGTTTTTTATAATATTTAGTTATTATCAGAAACGCTGCTGCCCATGTACGGACATACAATAATATTTTAGTATCCGAACCTTACTATTGGTTTGGGTCGGCTCGACCGGACCGGAATAGCAGGAAATGCTATTGTGTTTCGTTGGTCATTGCTCGTGAAAACCGGAGACCCTATTTACTGGAATCGACGCTTTCCATCTTAGTCCTCAGGGGCGACATATTCATCATCATCATTACAACCCTTCACAAGTCCACCGCGGAACATAGACCTCCCTCAAGGAATGATCGGTCCTGAGCCACCTGCATCCATCGACTTCCTGTATATGTTACCAGGTCATCACTCCACATGTTGGGGGACGCCCTACACTTTGCCTGCCGGTACAAGGCTGCCACTCAAGAAGCTTTTTTCCCCATCATTTGTCGGTTCTTCGAGGTATATGGGCGGTCCATTGCCACTTCAGCTTACTTATCCGTTGGGCTATGTCGGTCACTCTGGTACTACTGCGGATATCCTCATTTCTACGTTTATTACGCAGAGAAACTCCAACCATAGCCCTTTACATAGCTCGCTGAGTGACCTTGACCTTCCTCATACGGCCAGCAGTAAAAGACCGTAGCAGTAAAAGAAGTGATTGAAATAAATGCTGCTCGTATATTCTTTTAAAAGTAAGTAATTTTCTGATAGTCATATTTACTATTATCCTACTATACTAAAGTAGGTTTATTGGTATTGGTAAGTACCTATAATTTAGGAATCCTAATAAGTTTATCTGGGAAATGATAAAAACCGACTTTATTTTTAATGTTGTTATTTATATTATTTATTCTGTCAGTACATCGAGGTAATATTACATAATAAACCAGCTTAAATTGTAAGCACAAATATTAATTTCAAATGTTACTCAATGTTACAGACAGGCTGCTTAAAACCTGCTGTCAAATGAGGTTTTAATTTTTAAATTGACAAGAATTATTTGCATAAGCACCTAATTTATACAACCGTACATTTATACATATTAAGATAATTATCAGTAATTATTACATATTCAATACATAGAGATTAATATAAAATTAAAACAGTTACCTGAGAAATTTTCGATCTCATACAATATTAAAGGTAAGGAATAGATAAATAACAGTTAATACTCCCAAAATGTTTTAATATTAAAATATTGAATATAAATAGAATAAAAAAACAAAGGAATATTACAAGATATTTTTGTAAAAAAAACACATCAAATATCTATTGTCTTATGATTCTAGTTCCTAAATTACGAGTATTATTAGTTAGTTGCCAAAATTAAAGTTATTTTTAAAATAGTTTATTATTAGAAGGGAAAAATACGTTTAAACATTAAATGCTTAATTTATAAATATCCTATATTTTCTACCCTAAGGTTAGTTACACAGAAGTGAGAAATTGTAAATCAGAGATACGAGTAAAAGGAGATTTTCGATTAAGTACGCGCAGCTTTTCGGGTAAGATTTTGAACTAAAGGCATAATGCATTTAAAAAGATAGGTATACTCAAAATATTTCTAAGAAAAAGACATAGAAGGCAAAAGTCGCGAGGTGGCGGCTTTTAAGAATCCCTCCCCTATCATTCTGTAGGTACCGCAATATGCAAATATAGCAAAAGTTGGAAAAATCGTATGACTGTCGAAGTATAGTCGTTTAATCGACTTATATATAATAAATGTAAAATATATAGACTGATAACGGGGAGCAACGTGAAAGATGAAATTTATCTGGTACTGTGATTACAGATTTGATTAAAATAAAAAGGGTTCGGCACATGCATATTTACTCGTTACGGACTGATAAACAAGAAAAAAGAACAAGAAAGAATGACTGACACTGATTTACAATTCCGGAAACAACAAAAACATCTAGACATCTACAATAAGACAGCTACAATTTACGTACAATAGATACAGGAGACGATAGACGGATGGAAATTCTGGGGGCCATTAGCATTATATTATCTAAAAGTTCTAGTATAATGTATGCTAAGGGATTAAATATTCGCTAAGAAAGACAAATATAGGATAGGGTTAAAAGATTAATTCTAATTTGGCAACCTTTTTATTTACAAATACCTAAAGTAAATTTTGCTCTAGTCTAGCTGTAATCTAATAATACAACCATTTTAGAACAGAAACTATAATATTACTAGACTATATTATGTTATGGACATATGCAATTTATAGATCAAAGTCCCATACAGTTAAAACATTTTGATCTTATCTGAGACTTTCAGCAAATGTTATTACTTGCTCTTACTCTACAAGTCTGTCAACTTTTAATTTAACATATACTTTTCTGAACTACGACACTGCACTACCTTTTATTTTTATCCGTTGTATTCTATTCACCTACAGGCTTTGAGCAATAAGATACAAACATTCAAACATTTATAGTCACAGCACACATCCCTTATTCCAGTTTTGATATTTAAATAGCTTATTTTTAATTATTTACACTGCACAGCAACTTTTAAATCTCAAATGAACAGTTCCCTCAGAGTTGCTTTATTCTAACAAGGAATAATGACTTTGTAATGGTATAGCAAAGAACATATTAATTTATATGCTACATGTTAACAATTTTGTTAAGTCCTGATCAAAGTAATTAGGAGATGATACAAAAATATTCACTGAAGTCTTTTAGCCTTACAAATTATATAACAGTTTAGTTTATAAAGATCGATTATCATTATGTGTAAGATTTGACTCAACGTTTAACCTGTTATTTACATGTAGTTTGTCTTCTGATTTTGTCATTTCACCCTCAGTACCTTCTTTAAGAAGTTCCCAAAGGCGGTTTTTATCTAAAATTTCATAACCTCCCTTGTCTTCTGGCGCTATATCGGATTTCACAGGATTATCAAGAGCTTTAGAAGTTTCAGACATTGGAGTCGGCGGAATTTTATGTATTTCCTTGTTAATAGATTTCAGAGTTTTTGAAGACTTTTCAGTAGGCTTATTTTGAATTTTACTTACATTAACATAAGTTCTATTTTTTTCGTTTGTATCAATATTTGTAGTATTCTTAGAATAATGAATTATTTGGGGCTTTTTTATTTGTGTTATTGGCTTTGGTTTCTTGGTTTTATAATGCATTGTTTGTATATTACTTTTAGTTATCGCTGCAATAGTATGAGGTATAATTGTAGTCTCTTTGTGCGAAGAAACTGTATTATTTAATGCATTTTTACTATCATTCAATATTTTAAAGGTTGTATCATTGTTTTTTAAGTCTTCTGTAACATCCGTAACGTTTATTCCAGTTTTATTTTGCTGTTTTGCAAAAGAAGATTGTCCCAATCTTACATTGGCTTTTTTCAATATTTTGATGTTTTCATAATCTGTCTTGTTAGAGACTGTATTATTGGCAATCATTATTTTTGCAAAGAATTTTTCTTGTTTATCTCCATATGTTGCTTTAAGTGTACCTTTTCGCCTTGGAAGAACTTTCTTTTTTGATTCATCTATTTTTGGAATATATTTTGGTAACTTTTGCATTGTCTGCTCAGATTTCACTACAGATATCATTGGTTCTAAATTATTATCAAGTTTCTGATTGTCAGTCACAATAATTATTGGTTCAATATTTGTTTTCGATACTACTTGTTCAATAGAGACATTTTTTGGTTTATAAAGAAAATGTTCAGTGTTAGTTTTGTTTGGTTCTATTTTTATATTTACTAAAGTTTTCTGAGGTGTTGTTAATGGCTGAGCTGTGCTATTGCTTATATTTTGATATGTTGTAAAGGGCACTGTGGTTGTACTAGTCACAATGTCATTTATTTCAGGAACTGTTACGATTTCGATTACTTCAGGGGGACTGTCATTCTTTTTCAAGTTTAATATCGTATGGCCACTTTCATTTGATTTTCTAAATTCATAATCTCTACTGCATATCCTCCCACATTCACAAATGTTGTCAATACTTGCTGTGGTTGTGAGGCTTGCTATTTCAGTTTTATCAAACCAAGTTATAAAGTCATCATCGGTTATACCTCGAAGTAATTGACTGCCTGGTCTAGCGTGGAAGAATGTTTCAACTGCTAAGTCTGGACGTGTGGAGGGGTATATCTTGGCGAATGCTGGTCTCAGACTTGTGATTACAAATTTTGATCGTGCTTCGTATGTAACGCAAACAGGACAAGTAGAACTGATCTGTGAAAATGCAAATAAAAACATTTAAGTTGATATTTGGAGGAAATTTTAGTATAATTTAACTTATTTAAAAGTTTAATTTAAATGAATGAGAATTTGCGTTAGATGAATAAAAAACTTACATTGGCAAAAACGAACCAAACTGATTCACCCCTGGAGCCATAATGTAAGTCTGCAAAAGTAGCACCATCTAGTACTACAGGGTTGACTGACTGCAATTCATATCCCGAGAAAAGTGATGACTCAAGTCGTATAATACCGGAACGTTCCTTACCTTTCCATCTGAAAATATAATGTTAACGTGGAAATATCATAATTTTTACTAATTAGAAATTATGTTATTCTATATAGTATTAATAAAAAATACTTACTTGAAACACGTTTTTATGATAAGAGTAGGTAAGTTTCCTTGTAGATCCTCAATACTACTTCTTTCCGGATGTATTTCTTCTATAATGGCAGCTTGAATATTTAAAAGAGCATTCTCTGGTTTCGGCGAGTAAGTAGAATAAGAAATAGTTCCCTGAAAAATGTACAGTTACTTAAATAAAAAATAATGTTATTTATTATAAAGGAAACGTACATAAATTAAGAGGGGTAGGCAAGGACTATGGAACTTCCATTTGGCATGATTCCGTTAAACCTCTCTCGCTTCCCAAACATACACACACGTCAGTACTCACAATCCATCATTAGTTAATTTGATTCATCTTTATTATCTTTATTAATTTAGTCGATAAACTTCCATCTAACGATGGCGTCCCTTACCCTGTTTACTATTTCTTTTTACGAATTCAAACCACCGAAACATTCTTTTCTTAATTCTGGTCGCAACATCGTCATACAATCCACACTTTTCTCTTCCCACCCAATATCATGCTATTATTCAGAGTAACATTATATAATTTAGTGAGGCTAAAATTTCCCTATAGGTCCCTATGGATTTTTATTACTAACATATTTTTACAATTATAACTAACACAAAACTATTATTTAAAATCAAACCTGGACAGTTGCACATCCTGCGCCCGTAGCATAAACAAAAACTTTAGTCGGCAAGCCGGGCAGTTGTAAAGGTCTCGGAGGCGTTTTAGCCCGTAATTCCAATGTATCAGTAAGTTCCATTCCTGCCGTTGCCAGTGATACTGTAAGAGCCCGATGTCTACAAAAGAAACATTGTGTTAATACCAGTATAAGAATCGGAAGCATTAAAATCGTGATAGCTCAGGGACGGTTCATACTCATATTTCACAGCAAGCATGTAAACCAATGAGCCGTGATAGCTCAGATGGTTAGCGCTCGCTGTAAGTTTCACAGTACGCGAGCAAACCGGGTTCGATCCCCGCCGGCACCAATGAAATTGTTAATTGCAATTTTAAGTGCTGATTTACCATGTGCTCGGCGGTGAAGGAAAGTATCGTGGGGAAATCTGAATGTCTAAGAAATAAGACAAATATATTTTGAAGACATGTAAAGTTCGCCAACACGCATTGGGGCAGTGCGACGGATATTCCCTTGCCCTAAAACCCTCTCAGAAATGAGAGGAGGCCTGTGCCTGTGTCCCAGCTGTGGGATGTATATAGGCTGTAACTTTATTTTTTAACTTTTATGTAAACCAAGTTCTCCACCGGCAGACTTTAATCACCACTAAAATTGTTAGATCAAATTTTAAATATTCTTCAATATGCTCAGCATTGAAGAAAAACGTCTTAAGGTCTTATAATTTTTTATCATTAAGGCACATTGGAACATAATGGGCAACCATAAAACTCGCAGAAATAAGAAGGAACTATACCCAGCAGTACGTATGTACATTGGCACTTAAGCGATAAAGCAATAATTTCATTAGACTTATGTATTTAATTTTATATTCAAACAATTTAATTCTTTAAGGAGAGCTGTTATGTAAAACATTTAAATGCGGAGTAAAAGCATTCGAATGTTATAAATAATGTCGTTTTGGTACACGTGCCTTTAATCGTTCATTAATTAATTACAGCCTGTCAAAGTTCAAGGCTGAAAAAAGGGCTCTCCATGGATTGCCTCATAAACAGAATATTTTCCATAGTAATCACGGTTTGCAGGCGGGTTGGCAATCACAGTTTTCGATTTTCTAGTTATTATTTGGAAGAAGGTGGCTTCCCCTTCCAACACTTTTGGGACGATATAGACTAGTGAACATACTTACACTGTATTATAGTACAAGCATCTACTCTATGGTCACTAAAATTAATATATTGGTAAACAAAACACAGTGAAACCTGGATAACTGGGACCTTAAGGGACCTGCAAATTTGTCTCACTTAAAGAGATATTCCACTTACCGCCTGTCTCAGATATCCAGGTATAAATAAATATCTGTCTCATTTACAGAGGGTTCCATTAATAGCCGTGAGAAAAAAGTTTATTTCAGTTATAGATGTGTGATTATTAAATAAAAAAACGTATTTTGTAAACATAATACATAAACATTCGGACGATAGCAAAACCAAACTAAAACTGAAGGTCACTTTTACACAATTAGCCAAGTGATTTTTTGGAATTTTGGAGATTTTTTGTATAGCATAGGGAATTTGCGGGTAGAATAATAATTAGTAAACAAAACAGTAAAAAATATATAGTGTCACTAAACGAGGTAAAATACACTCGCTGTCTCAATTATAGAGAAAATTATGAAGATAAAATCGAAAGAACTAATCCCAGATATAGAGGTTTGTTTTGTCCCACTAACTTAGTTAATTCAGTCCTACAGTGTCGGGACCTAAGCATGAGTTCCAGCTATGGACGTTTCTCACTTATCCAGGTCCCACTTAACCAAGTTTTACTTTATATAGTAGGTATATCTCAAAAGACCGTAAATGAGCGTGGTGTGATCATATCAAGACCTTTTATTGCAATGTTGACTATTTTTATTGATATTGAAGTTAAAGCACTGCTAGACAGTTGGAATTATCAGCGAGGGAGGAGGGAGGAATCACTAGATTGTCTGAGAGGACCATGCCTTCAGTGCCCCTTCCTAGCTACTCTCCCATGTCTATGAGTCACCCCGTCTAGATTGTTTGTCGCTTTCATATAAAATAATTTGCATTAATGAAGATGAAATAAAGTTGACTAATTGGTTTTTTCATCATTTGATTAATACCTATCATGAGCTAATGCTGCGTACTGGGCAGCGGCTTTTGTTGCACTATACGCTAAACTGGGATGTCGTTGAAGTGTGGACGCCCTGTAGTATAGGAAACGAGCGGCAGCCTCGCCTTCCGCTAATGCTCCCCTTGCGCAAGCTGCTAGGAGAACTCTTACACCGGCGACGTATTGCTCCATTGTTACAGCTTCTGTAAAGTTTTTTAAAAGTATATTGTATTTACAATATATAAGACCACTAAGCTTAAAGGTTTAGTTCCTCTACATGGAGCAAATTAATACATACATATAATCACGCCTCTTTCCCGTAGGGGTAGGCAGAGACCACTTCTTTCCACTTGCTACGATCCTTACATACTTGTTTCGCTTCGTTCACTTTCATTATTCTCTTCATACATGCTCTACGGTTAAGGGTGCTCTTGACCTGGCCTTTTTTCAAGACGTCCCTGATTTGGTCTTGAAATGTCCGCCTAGGTCTACCCCTTCCAGCACTTTCATTCACACTCGCCTTATACACTTTTTTCGTCAATCGTTCTTCATTCATTCTCTCGACATGGCCAAACCATCTCAGCATACCTTTCTCAATTTTTTTATCCTGTCACTCAGTTTAACTCCTATCATACTTCTTAACGCTCTCATCTCAACTGCATTTATTCTGCTTTCGTGTTTCTTCTGCCATACCCAATTTTCACTTCCGTACATGAGTGTCGGAACCAACACCCCCTCATGCACAGCCAAACGAGCATTGTTAGACACCTTCCGACTGCTCATAAAGGAGTGCAAAGCTCCATTCACCATGTTTCCTACATTCACTCTTCTTTCGATATCAATCTCACACTTTCCATCTCTTGTAAACTTTGAACCCAGATACACATACTCTTTCACCTGTTCAATTTGTTCATCTCCAATCACGATATTGCAGTCTGTCACTGCCTCATCTATTTCAAACACCATCATTTTCGTCTTCCTTACATTCATCTTCATTCCGTTCCTAACAAAAGCTGCACTCATAGTAGTTACCATCTCCTGCAACTCCTCGGCCGAAGACACAAGTAATACTTGGTCATTAGCATAGAAAAAACATTTGACGAGTAACTCATTCATTCTCAACCCGCTTTCATTCTCTTTTAAATCTGTCAAGCATTTGTACAAGAACAGATTAAGGTCCACGAACGCGCAATAAACCTTCTTGTTTTTAGCCAAACACTTTTCGGCTATGCACCGCAAGGAAAATACCTGATCCGTACATCCCATTCCCTTTACTAAATCCCGCTTGTGCATCCCATACTTTTTTGTCTGTTTCATTCACAACCCTTTCAATCAACACTTTCGCATACAATTTACCGACGACGCTGAGAAGGCTTATACTGCGGTAATTTATGCAGTCCTACTGATACTTGCCCATTTCGCCAGCACAAATTGAAAAGGCGGTACAGCTGACTAGCCACTATGCCCTGTCCAGCCCTCAGTATCTCGACGGTAATCCTATCATACCCTGCAGCCTTACCTACTCTCATAATTTTCAACGCTTTCACTATTTCATCCATACTTATATCACTTTCATCAACATTTATATTAGTTTCTATGGAAGGTGCCGGATGCTGTACCTGCACTTCCTCTCTTTCAAATGGTCTCTCTTTCAAATGGTCTGAATAAATTAATGGTCTGGATTTTTGTCCATGTTCAATTTGTCAGAATGCTTTTTAAAATTTTCGGTGGTTCCAGTTTTTATATCTTTTTTTCTAAAGGCAACGACATAAAACAGAAAAAGTACCATCACACAATTCTGGGACTGTGTTTTGGCTTAAAGGAGCTAGTAAATAATTCAGACTGTAATCAGTAAATACGTAACTCTGGCTTTTTTGGTGTGTTCGTAGGTTGCAGGTGTTCATGGGCTGCGAAAGCTATCAGGTTGAGAGTTATTTCATTATTGGTCTGGTGTGTTCGTTTAAAATTTAAATAAATAAACGTTGTAGAACCATGAAGTTTTATAATAGTTGTAGACCAAATGGGTGGACTCGATCGAGAAAGGACCACGCTCTCACGAAATATTAGCGCGAAATTGCGGCTTGATGGTGCTAGATTGCGTATAGTTAGTTTATATAGCCGGAGACCCTTTTTATGTACGAATCCAACGAGGAATTCAAAATTAGCCCCCAGGATTTGCATTTTGATTCCTGATCAGGATAGAAATGTAGATATCTATAAGTCACCGTATATACTTACCATCATATGGACTGTGTACTCGTTTGTTACGGTTTTTCTATAAAATAAGAAATGCTAACATGACGGTTTAAATAATGTTTTTATGACATAATGCAGTTTCAAATAACAATTGTAATTTAAATAATTATAATGAGATTAAATTCTTTAAACAAACAAAAAAGTAATTTTACTTTACTAGTGTGTTCAACCGAAATTATTTTTACGACTACTACTATAACTTCTATAACTAAAGCTAAAATAAATATGAAATTAACTTTGATTCAATTACCGCTAAATGCCACATTCACAAACGTAGTAATATGTTTGATAATTAATTTTCTTAATAAAAACTTACCGTAGGAAGTTGTTTTAATGTTTCTCGAAGTTTCTTCTAAAAGCCAATCTGCAGCATCCTTCCTTGGAGCTGGCCATCCAAACTCACCCTCTTCAGTAGTTGAAGCGTTCCTTAATATTGCCAAAGCTTCAGGGACAACCGGACTCCTATAAACAAAAATGCCTCTTGGTTAATATTTTATGCCAAAAAGGAGTTAAGTGTGCGAAAAGTATAACCGAAATTATTTAAGACTTCATATGAATAAATATTGCATAACTACATTTTATTTACCGTATAGTGGTGGTATTAGAACATCCACTACCCCCTATCGTTCCGTGGGTGTCGAAAGAGGTGACATAGGGAAACAAACCAGAAACCAGGAGATGTGCAGCAGCATCTTCGTAAGAACAACTAGAAGAAAAACTGCGGTAGCCAACTCGCCTGACAAGCGTGGCAACTATGGCAGATATGGAAGTTATTATGAGGCATTTTTATTCAATAAGTTTTTTTAACCGTTTTGAGTTCACCGATAATATCACAAGTTTAAGGTTACAAGTAGAATGTCGTCTAAATCGTTACATTAAATATTTTTTTATTAATTCTTTCATTAATGGACTACACCAGAAATATAACCTATTTAATAAAAATGACCATTACAATACGTTAACAATTGACGAAGGTGTCGCGTAACATGACAATATAAATCTTACAGTCTCTGACTTAGAAATACCTCTTTTTTCAAAGTCGGTACGAAAGGAGGTTGCCGCAAAGCAAGCTGTCAGCGCGCAACATTATTCGTAGGAGATGTTGCTGCCCTCAGCGAGTGGGCAGTGAAGTAGTATACAGTTTGTTGTAATTAGTCGAGAATAATATTATATTAGGTACTTGTTTTGAAAATTAAACTCTTTAATTTTGATGTAACTACATTTTTTTAAGATACCTTTTTAAATTAAGAAATATAATGTCGAATCATTCTTGCCACCCGTATATTAAACAAGTAATTAAAATATAAAAATAATACTTTAAGGAATTCAGTTCATATTGTATAAAAATAAGGAACCTTGCAAGAACGAGAGCCAAAACTGTTGCAGCAAGTGCAGCCGGTGATGTGAGATTATAGATATTTTTTTCCAGGTAAGCTTGAGATTTCTTCGCAACATTTGCATCGAACTGAAACAAATTTGTGAATTAATTTATATCACTATCGTCATTGATTAACAATCAGCATGTAGAATTCCACTGGAGGACAAACTGTTATTCCATAACCGATGATAGACGTTTAAGTTTAAAAATCAAGGAAGTATCATCAGCAAATAACACTATATCATGATTATCCCTATAAGGAAAGGTAAGTCATTAATATCGCGGATGTCGTAAAAGGAGACCGATAACGATATTGCCATCGTATTTATATGTGAAAAACTGAGTGATATTCACTGCTTCGAGTATATACTTACTTACATAGTGGCATTGTAATATTTCCTGCAAAGTTGATAGCTCTCCAGGTTCTTGAATCCTAGTAGATTCAATGTCAACAGCGCCCTAGGCTAACACCTCATCGGCGTACCTCTGGTAGTTACATATTATTAATAATACTATTTATTTTGGAAATAAACTGTATTATAATTTATAATACAGTTTCATTTCAAAATAATTAGGATACGTGTACTCTTAACAGGTGGTTTAAATAAAAAAGTGATAGGAGAGTGAGGGCGATGTAGGAGTAATCAAATACGCGAATTTTTCGTTCAGAAATTTGAGCGCGCCCCTTTTTGATCTTGCGCCCCTAGGCACGTGCCTATTTTACCTTAAAATAATCAGCCACTGTAGCTCTTAAATAATCATTAGTTATAACTGGTCAATAATTAGCCTGGAGGACATTAAATTAACTTAAAAAGTAAATTTGTATAGAGCACCTGATTTTCTACACCAACTTCTAATAACGCAGCCAATGTTTCCGCCGTAACTTCGACTCTCCTTTCCCATTCTATTTCTTTTTCCGTCATGTTTCCATCTTTGTCGTAATAGTAATATTCATTTACTTCCATTTCAGTTCCATTGGAGTTTTTCATTTCTACTTGGTAATAGTCTACTTCTTTATCAGCAGGTAGTGGTGAAAATGAGCCGTCAGCGTCTTGTCTCGATTGAATCCATTTTCTTATTTTCTGGAGTAAGTCAGGATCGATGGGGTAATAGGACTGTATTTTGGTTAAGATCTCCAGAATTTTTATTGTAGACAAGTGACTACTCATCGCTGGATGATCGCTAAATGAGTTGTCATTTTTACGAAACGATAAAAGAATTTGAACCTGAAAATAAACGTTATTTTATTGGATGCAAATACAAAAACACTTGAACTAAAAACAATTTAAATAAGATGGCAATTGCAAAATTATACCTGTTCGGGTATTTTTTTCAGTATTCTTTCTCTTTCTGCATCCTCAACCAAGTGGGGAATGTGCTCCAACGCTAACAGCGGCGCTAAGCTCGCTGATGCAGCTGACAACTGGGAATCTCTCCACACTGAAGCCCATTGATCAGCAGAATCGGTTTGTAAGCTATATAAGGGAAGATGCAGACCGCCTGATACGAGAAGAGTTCCACTAGCCGAACCCGGCACTACACCGTGAGGCAGACCGAGTTCTAATACTTGAGAAAAGCCTGCTTCTTCGTTAAAGTTCCATATTCTGTAAAGAAGGGCTATTTTTAGTAGCCTCTTTAGTGGCAACGGATTTATTGGAAATATTTGTAATTCATCAATCATTAAAATTATTTACAAGTGTGAAAATAACTGTACCAAACTGTTAATTTTAAACACTTAAATATAATCTAAAACTAATGACATTAAAGATATAATTGATATCGCAAAATGCGACAGAGGCAAACTGAAATAGGTGATGCGTAGCAACATATCCTGATAAAAACTCAAAATAATGAAAAAACTGCGGTTGCTAACCCCTTTGTCAACCGTAACAACTATGGCAAATATCTAGGCTATAATGATGATGATACTTTTAACTAAGACTACTTTTCTGCCTTATAGTTCGTATATGTAGCTTCTTCGCTACTTCTGGTGCTTGGCGGCATCAGTGGGTCAACTGCTCTGTTTCGGTCTGAATGGTATTAAAAGTCATTATAATTACATGCAGTAAGTCGTTCCATCACAGTAGGCGTCCACAGAAGTGACAACCCATTTGTAGCCTTCTTTGTTTGAAGTTGGCTACAGGTGTCAGCGGGTGCTAAAAACTATCAGGTGGACTGTACCTTCATTTGTCACTGCAATTTTTAAATCAAAAACAATACTGGGTCAAAAAGTGTTTAAGAGTTGGTTAGTTGACACTGATATCGGTTAGAATACTTTTCAACAAGTTTAATTTAACGATGACCCGTTCAAATAGATTTTTTTTTTTAATTTGAATACGCTACATAACTAAAGAAGGTTAGTCAAATCGTACCAGACGAGGAAACGATGGCGTCACTAGATGCCATATTTATGAAAAATATTCTTATTTTTTTTAAGGTCTTAAAAACACTAAAAATACCTCTCTAAATAGCCACAAAAAATTATACTTTTATTTTTGTTTTTGTAACTGTTCCAAAATTATTTAAAATAATAGTTTCAGAACGAACTTGAACGCCCCTAATGACGATTCATTTCGCGTATGAAAGGGCATTATATTCAAAAGCTATAATTATTCACGTTTTTCTGAATATTTGTTAATTGTAATTCAATTCAATTAGTATTTAGGCATCAAACAAACTACTATATAGATTTATTATGTACTGGTTTCATGTCATAAAAATAATTATGTAGCTTAATAGTAAGCTAAGCGTTTTCTTCAATTACGTGCAACGGAACATCATTTGTCATCGATAAGTTACATAATCTGTGGTCATCGATCGACACCATTGATTGTCACCCGGCAATCATTCGCATCATCCTATTTGCTTCATTCGGTGTGGATTGTGACACGTACTATACTATTTTAGATTTCCTTGTGTTGTTTTGACCTCGGCATTGTTTTACGGACTGATAAATACCACTTGTAACGATTATTCTATGCTTTTGATTTCTGGACACCGATTTTGCATCTAGGATATTTGTGAGAGACGTCATGCAGACTACAGCTACACAACAATAACAACTAGCCCTGCGATTGCTATGTGTTAATTGTAACATATGCATTGATACATTTCGCCGCCTTCTCGTTTTTGAGCTTTATACCAGAGTAATTTCTAAGATCTTCGAGTTGAATTCTTCAACAATAGTACATATTTACATACCTACTTATTTCATTACACTTAAACCACACACAATCACAATCAAACATAAACCATCACACACAATCGTACATCATAATGCAAATCTAATTCTTATTTTAGATCACTGAAGAAGATGACATATGTGATGCTAACCTCAAAAGTATTGTTGACGTTATTATAAAAAATTGTGGCTATTTAGATATGATTTTCAAACGAGATAGTATTTACAAGATAAAAAAAATCAATCTAGCTATAGCCAAAGCTATAGCTTGTTTTGGGACATGAAAAATAAGTCTAGTCTAGCTCCTATAGAAATTCGGGCATTCTTCTTTAACAATCGAAAACTCAAAACATTTATAAAAAGAAAGTGTCACGGAAATATTTGCCAGTGCAACATTTGTAAATGTGTTTTCTCTTGTAGTAATAAAAAATTATCTTGTTCGATAAATATTTTAACTTATAAGTATGTAAATAATGTTAATAAATGATAATGAGTATTATAAAATCCAAAATCATTTTATTTCCATTTTCGTGACAACCCTTAGCATAAACGCTGGCCGCGCCAATACCTACGCGGGCGGCTGCATCGCCTGACATCAAAGGTGTTACACAACTGTAAGGTCTAAACTGTAATATTACTGTAGACGGCTTTAACGGGCAGACACAAAAGAAAAGATATAGTTCAAGAGTTCTAGTTACAGTTTTTAAAATAGTTCACCTGAAGTCAGCTTTCTCTCCCCACAATGCGCTGAAGCCGACGTAATTTATCCTCATGTCTGCAGTCAAAGGCCACACTAACAGTCTCCGCTCAGAGGGTGCCGCTCCTCTACCGACGGACAGTCTACCTCCTTCCCACCATACCCACCAAGCGCACCACGACTCCGCTCCTGAGCATTCGTCATCGCTCTCAGTTTGTTCTGCGCTGGCTAAGTGAACGTCATAACCTGAAACGAAAGAAACCATAACAGTTTTTTAAAATGTGTAATTACATTTTGACGTCTGTACGTTTTGACTTAGTAAATTGAAAAAAAAAAACAAGGCTTTAAGTTTTCTTCTTTATTAGCCCGTAAAATAATCTTGTCCTGCTTCTTGTACTGCATTGTTTAAGTTGCCTTCCTTGGATTTTCCATAATTGCTGAGCTTAGTTGGGGAATTGGCATACATATTAAACATTCATTGACGCTGTTTTCGGTCGCAGGTCTATGTTTTTTTTCACAAATGGTGTAAATGAGAAACTAAAAATATCAACCGTTGGAGCAATAAGACCTTTCTAGCGTACCCCATAGTCGCATCTTACGACACCCTGGGGCGTAGCTTTCTTAAAATATTTTGACTTTGGCTTTGAAATGGGGTGATGGATTCTATCGCGCCGCCACCACGTTGTTTTATTTATATGTTTTAGGCATCGATCACTAATAAAAAACTAGATACACAATCAATGAGAATATCCTTACCAAATGAGCGCCCACTCGAACATTTGGGTGCTCTTTCAATTTGTACGTAGCTTTGTGAATACAACTTTAAGCAATGCATTTAAGGTTGAATTAACATTGATGTATATTTATCTCAACCAGAATTACGTCAAAACAATTGACGACAGTTTTTAGAGAACTTTTGCATGGGATTGTGTATCTAGTTTTTTATTAGTGTTCGATGGTTTTAGGTAATTATTCATTAAGTATTGATCAAAATTATATACTAACAGAATCCGCTTAGACAAAAATGACAATCATTATACTTTTTATTATGCTAATTGCACAACTTTATTTTATTATAAAATTTAAAATTATTTGTAAAAAAAAAATAATGCAATATACTATCCATATAATTAGTAATGGCGTTTAAAAGCATAAAAATATAAAAATTCAAGGAATTGTTTTAGTTTTTTAATCGATGTTAATTACAAATATTAAATCACAATTTAATAATAACTATTGAATAAAATGTACAATTTCAGAAGAAAAAAAAATTAGCACCTCTGTTATTTATTGACATTTGACATCAACAATTTATACATGGTAGATCCTTGCTGAAACTATATTAGTGGTATAGTTCTAGCACGGATGGGTCGACTCGACCGGGGAAGGACCACGCTCTCACAGAGTACCAGCGTAAAATGGCAGTTTGACACTGCTGTGTTTCGTATGGTGGGTGTAGAGAACCGGAGACCCATTTTACTGGAAACGAGGCATTCCATCTTAGTCCTCACGGGTGACGACGCATCTGCATTTTGATTCTTTATTGAGGATAAATGCAGATGTCAATGGGTCACTGCAACCACTTACCATCAGGTGGACTGTGTGCTCGTTTGTCACCCTATCCTATAAAAAAAAAGAATAAAAGTATTAAGTAATAATTAAACATGGCTACGACACGAATATGTTTTAGAATATGAATATTCATACCATGTTTTCCCTTAGCGATCCAAACACGACTTCTCTCAAACACAACTCTGTACATATCGTCCGAAGGCTCGCGTATAGCTGAGAGGGCGACATGCGCAGCGCCTTGTGCCCGAAGCTCGAGGACAAGACCGGCACGGTTGCGTGGCGCTGCTACCCATTGCCACTCCCACGATCCCCGAGAAGAAACGGCTAGATGTTCTGTAAATACAAAAATTGTTGAAGTGTTGCAGGTATCTGTAGCATGTCTCCCAACTTATTTTATATGTAGAGACTGCCTCCTTAGTCTAGTGGTCATAAAAGCCACGAGTTCGAAACCCAGGTCGGACCAAAATAAATCTAATTTTCTTTTATATCATTTTAAATTAATCAAGATATGCTTTGTAAAAAAATAACGTTTATTATTTATATTCGTTTGTGTAAAACAAAAATAATATTTTTGTAGAAATAACCATTCTACATCACACAACGAATAACGTTGTCATTTCAGTTATTCAGTTATAAACATAATTAGAGTGGAATAAAATTATCATGTAAGTAAACGAATCTGAGGTAACGCGTAATAAAGAACAAAGTTCACATTTGAAATAACGAATTCTTAGTTTTAAAATTTGAATACATTTTTTTGTTTATTTTAAATTTTTTATTTAAAAATTAAGTACCAATAATCTCAATTTGATTTATGAATTTGTTAAAACTGATAAAATTGATAAAATTTTCTATGGGTTCGATTCCTGGAAAAAATGTGTTGACATTTTTAAGAAAAAACTAACATGTATTACTCGTATTATGAGGTAATTATGTATTATAATGAGGTACTGATAGCAGGTCTCAATTGTCACATTGATCGTTGATATTAAAACTGAGTCTAAGTGGTCTTAGTAAAAGGAATAGTTTGTGCCACACACAAAAAAATTATAACAATATCTTCTAGAACGAATTACGGCCACCGTGGCCAGTCTCAACTCAGAATAGACATCTGCACAGGACAGGATTATGGTGCACGTAAAACACAGTTGTACTTTTTATTCCCTCACTCGCATTGTCCGATTGAACAGCAATCTGATACGAACGGAGAGGGATCAGGCGCATAACCAACGGCTTTTACGTGCTTTCAGAGGCATGGCATGGAAGTGAAACATCGCCAACTTCTTAACTGCGGCCTGTCACTGAGAATTTCTCGACAGAAAAACCCAATAACTGAATTTGGCTCGACACGGGATTTGAGCCCGGTATCACAGCATCAGCAGTTACGCTGAGGGTCTTTAGATCAACGAGGCAGTCAAAAAATGTTACATCGTATTGTGTATTATATAATTATATTCCTTCCAAATTTATATTATATTCCTTCCAAAAATATTTTATAACATTTTTGAACCTATTGCTATAGCCCTATATATATATATATATATATATATATATATATATATATATATATATATATATATATATATATATATATATATATATATATATATATGTTTAATATTTGTAGTTTTTATTTTTATTTTCTATAATTTTAGTATTGTTTTGGCAGCTATCACATTATTTTACACACGATTCGGGTTGACTATGAGAGAATGTAAAACGGCATTAAGTCTGCTCTTTGTATTAAATGAAACTAATCTATTACGGATTTTATCGCGTTTAATTTAACTTTTTAATTCCAGACGTTTCGGATGCTTTACAGCACCCATGGTCATGGGAGGGGGGGGGGGGGGACTGAGGTGTTTGAAGTCCGGATGTCATAGCTCGGCTACCTTCGGTTTTTGAATATACATTTTTGGTTCTATCTACGCAGAATGAGTTTACAGTATCTTGAAGTCTTGCAGCGGTATGCTTGGATTTTGATTAAATTTTATTAATTATAGGATCCCAAGCAGATGGCAGCACCCATCCATCTTCTCTAATGAAATTAGGATGTTTATTAATTTCAATAGCCTCGAAAAACAAAAAAAAATCCGTAAAGATTAATTTCATTTAATGTGTAGTCTTCGCGTAAATATAAGAAATTATTCTGCTCTTTGTAATTAACTTTATTAAGATGTACAATATAATGTAAATAAATGAATATATATTAGCCTTGCCCATATTATTATTGACCGCATAAGCCTACGAACGCTCAGAAGACTACTTCATTGTAATGAAAACATATTAAACTTACCATTAGCACAGAAGTATGCGCTTTGTGTATCGCTCCTGTGTAAGCCTTCAGGCAACACCAGAACACTAGCTGATCTTATCACCGAGCCGACCAGAGATTCATTGTTAAAAGATGTGTAAGATACGGAACAGTTGTCGGCGCTGTATCCGGTTACTTCCACTGAAAATGGAAACAGTAAAAAGTTAGATCAACAAGTTAAATGTGAGTTAATATTTTATAATAATTAATAAATTATTATCATATTAAGACATGCAGTAAGTCTGCATGATAGATGCAGGTGGCTCAGGATCATGATTTGTGCCATTCCTTGTGGGAAGTCTATGTTCAGCAGTGGACTTGTGAAGGGCCGTAATGATGATGTTGATGATAATATTGTTTTCCTTATCTCTTGTTATAAATTAAAAAAAGGTATAACAATGTGGCGGCGCTGTCGTCGCGCCACAAGCTAAACACATCGAAGCCTAAATCGCGCTAACAAAGTTCCGAAGTTAAAGCAGTATATATAGAATAGCTCCGAACTACCATTCGGAGCGTTGGCCGCTCCCCGGGCAGAACACCCTGCCCGGCGGGAGATCTCCCCTTTACCTTCCAGGGCCACAGTGGTGACCACCGGACGTGATATGAACACACAACCAACAACCTTCGGAAACTACAACTTCAAACCTTCGTCATCATCCTAAAGATTCATTCGCTCCCGAGCAGATATTGTCTGCAGACTTGCTCCGGCTCATCGTTCTCACCGGCATCACTTGTAAGTGCGTAGTACGGCGTGCATTATACACCGGCATATCGTTCGCACCGACTTCACTTGCACTTACGCACACAGCATGCATTTCCCACTAGCATTAAGGACGCACCGGCAATCGGACTGCACTGTCGACCTCCGGTCTGAGCAGGGGGGCGATGTGGCGGCGCTGTCGTCACGCCACAAGCTAAACACATCGAATCCTAAATCGCGCTAACAAAGTTCCGAAGTCAAAGCAGTATATATATAATAGCTCCGAATACCACTCGGAGCGTTGGTCGCTCCCCGGGCAGAACACCTTGCCCGGCGGGAGATCTCCCCTTTACCTTCAAAGGCCACAACAATATATATGTTACACACTTAAAATTATATCTGAAGTTATACTACACAAATATATGCATCAATGATTATAAATTGGCCGTAGAAGTTATTACTATTAAAATTAAGATTAGCCAAAAGCGTAAAACGCGAAGGTGCTCTGAAAGTCAAAGAAAGTCTTTGATACTATAAAACTGCAAAATAAAAATGGGAAACAAATTTTAAAAAGCGGAATCGTTCCGCTGTTGCCAATCTGCTGAAATGTAGAAATTATTGGTAGAAATCTCGGTTAAGGATAATACAGGCTACATGACAGAATTAATAAATTTGATAGAACTACGTTGCAGCTATAATACTTAAGGCACGAATGGCACGAAGCGTAAAAAAACGGAGACCCTTTTTACTGATACTGAGACAGTGTATCTTAGTCCTCAGGGATGACAAGTGTATATTAGTTTTCAGGGGTTAGTAGTAAGTGTCTATGGGCCACAGCATCCACTTACTATCAGATGGACACTGTGTTCGTTCTTCACCTATGAATGAACTATATTATATAAAAAGACAGCACTATGATTTAGTTAATTAGTTTCAAAAGTAGTTAAAAAAGGAAATAAATAATGTATAAAATAATTCTAACGGAATAAATAGCTATTCCGTAGTGACGGAACGATGTAATTCGGTTATAATTTCTAATATCCTTTATTATTATTTTTTTATAGGATCGGGTGACAAACGAGCGCACAGTCCACCTGATGGTAAGTGGTTACTGTGACCCATAGACATCTACATCTTAGTACATTTTTACATTCTATCCTCAATAAAGACTCAATATGCAGATGCGTTGTCACCCGTGAGGACTACGATGGAGTGCCTCTTTGCTAGTAAAAAGGGTCTCCGGTTCTCTACACTCACCATACGAAACACAGCAGCGTTAAACTGCAATTTTACGCTGGTTTTCTGTGAGAGCGTGGTCCTTCCCCGTTCGAGCCGACCCATTCGTGCTACAACCATAATATAGCTGCAACATGGCTCTACCACGTATAAAATTATTTATAAACAACATAATTACACATATTATTAGTAAAAAACATAAAAAAATAGTAAAATAGTTTTAAAAGTATATCCGAAACCCATTAAGATCTACCAGTGATCACTGAAATCGTAAATTGTTGCAACAATTTGAAATCAAATAAAACTTTTATTTGTTTATTATGAGGTATCGTCATAATGCCGAGTTTTGTATTGCTTTCGTACGACTGTAACAAAATTCTGTTATATTGTTATTATAGATTGAATGAGGCAATAAAATTCAATAACGAAATATCTTTTATTATTCTAGATCAAAAGTGTTGAAATCAATGTTGTTAAAATATTGATAAACCAAAGATATTTGTTTATGCTCAGACTAGGGTTGCCAGCTCCTGTTTTATGTTTTAGAGGATTTGAAATTGAATAAAGGATATCATTTTCAATAAAATGCTGTTATGGTAGTATAACATAATATAATTCAATGAAATGCTGTAGCAACATTTATTAATAAAATAAAATGTAATGTAGTTTGTCTCTCTAACATCACGCGTCACCTTAAAGTGATTTTCAATCTCTTTGACCTCAACTAGGAGAAGGAATTTCGAATACGCACAATATTGCTTCTCCTCTAATAAATATTTCAGATTAAGGGACTAGATCAATTTTTCTGTGTGTAATAGAGATCGTACTTTAAAATAAAGGAAGTATGGCAAGCCTAGCTCTGACCAACAAAGATAAATTGAAGGAGGAAAGCAGGAAATCTTTACGACTTGCGCCATTATTAACCACCTCCAAATTAGTTAGATCTATGGTCAAGCCAAAGAGTATAGTAGGTCAGGCCAAAGACAATTTTTTTTAAATATATAACTTAGAGTCATTACTAAGTTCTTATCCAAATATAAATAATATTATAAATAATAATAATAATAATATATTAGTGAAAAAAGAAACACATGTTTATAACATATAACAACAAAGTTATTTTTGCTTTGTCATCCTACAAGACCCGTGTCTGCGCAATAACAACGACAACTATTTTCAATCATCAAAACCACTTACCACGCTCAAAGACATCGATCGATTTTTCGATTAGTTAGAGAGTTATTGAGTTAGCGGAGATATATATTAATTAGTACTGTGGAGTTTCCGTAAAGGGCGTTAACTGTACGGACGCTGCAGAACGGTTGTGTTGAGTTGTTGATACAGTTAGAGTTACATACCAGCACTTCGGTTCTATAATATAAGGCACCAAAATGTCAGAAATAGAGAAACTACTAAAGGAATTGAGAGTTGACATAAAAAAAGACTCTGAATGACTTCTTGTACAGCTAAACAGTGTTCTAATAATTCAAGAAATAAAAATAAGATACACGGGATTACTTACCACTCATAATTATAGCTAAAAATTTTATTTTGTTGAAAATTATAATGATGTTTATTGTTGACTTCGCCATGTTTGTGAGAGCGAGATAGATAATACAAACATGCGCGAGAGACACGATACGCGATTAACTAACGCGATTTCGCTCGCACAATTACGACGTTTCCTATCTGTCCTTGTCTATCGGTAAATTTAATTTTGTGATTATAATAACAGATGTGTGTGAACATTCCGTTTTCTTCACACTGCTTGTTTCGACGGCTATCTCTCTTTCTGCACGTGTTCGACTCTCGAAGTGGGCGGTGTTTTGTAAAAGTAAGCTCTATTACAATGATTATAGATATGAAATATGCATGTCAATATATGTAGCCAGATTTTTGAATTTTGTTGACATTATTTTTTTAGTCTACATTGAAATGCGCTTTGCATCGTTCAAGTTAAACGTATTTAGTAGTTTTCTAAATTGAGAGATTAACTAAAATATAATTATTCATAGTATTAAGTTCTAAGTGTTAATAGTGAATAGTATAAACAGGAATAGTGGTACTTAGGTTTTTAAGTGGTCCAATAGTTTAAATATTAACTATGTTGGCGTCGGCTCGTAAAAACAGTAGATTGATATGGCACCATTTTGAATAAGACAATAAAACTTTTAAGCAACGTGTCATGAATTTAAAGATGTATTAAGTTATAAGTCGTCCACTGCCAATTTAAAAAATCATCTGTGAAAAAACATCCTTCGGTTTATTTATCGGTGTACGGAGCTGATGATGATCAATCCGGTCATTCATCCCGACCAACGACACATTTAGATGTAAACAAAACAGCGAAGTGATAACGGCGTTTTGTCTTAGCTCAGGTTGTTTTTAAACTTTCTAATATTTTTTTCTGAAATATAAGAATTTCACCCAACCTAGGTGATCAGTCAGTGTACCGTATAAGGTAGATATAAGTTAGATGAATAACTAATTTTATTTCTAGAAAATTGCATTGATGTCCAACGTCCACGACAGCGAAATATGATAGTAGGTACGAACGGGATATATTATGCAAAAATACCGATACGAGTACAAAAATAAACATATTTAAAAATATTTATCTTTGTACTGAGTAATTTAATTACCATTAAACAAATACAGCAATTGTTAATGGAATATTTTCCTACAAATTATTGCGTGTATTTTATTTAATTCTGACTTAGAGATTTAGAGTGAATTGACGGTTCTCATACCTAGCCTAATTTGTAGCATTTTGACTCCCTTATCATGCTATGCCAGGAAGTTGTCGAGTTCCCACTAACCCTGTATAATATGGTTTTTAACGGGAGAGTAAATCAATTAGATTTTTGTGTTTGAATAATAAACATCGTTTCATAAATTCGTACCTATGTTTTATTGAACTAAAACATACTTTATAATTATCGCTTACCTAATATTTACAAATACTTACATAATCAAATTAATAACTTAAGTATAATAACGCATAGGCATCAATTTTACGCTTGGCATAATGGGCATTGAGCGATACGCGCGCTCTATACCTTGCTTATTTGTACTCTAAGTTCTGAATATTCTTTATCTATGGTTTTAAGGGGTGCCTTCTTAATTAAATTAAATTATTATATACTCTTTGGAGGGGTTTATAACTTTGACAGTAATGAGAGTTCTGGCGGGAACTTGACCGGCA